ATAAACGAAGTGTTTGGAGAGATCGTAGATACTTGGACTTGAAGAAACGGAATTATATGTTGCAGCAAATGAAGGATTGGTGTGGACAAAACGGGAAAAGGATCCCAGATTGTATTTTAAAACTTTTGCGCGAAGTGTATCCAAATACCCCGAACAAAAAATACATGGGACAAGTGTGGATCTAATGATCAAACTCAGTTTTGTGTGTGAAAATTCTGTGAAAGAAAAGGAAATTCATAATTAAAGTTGTCTTGGAATATGTGTATTGGAGTTTTCGTTTATCGTAAGTACAATATTATCCGGATACGCCTTCTGTAGGCCAAAACATCAAGTATATTCAGTTACTTATTTACCAGTTGCTTATGTGCATTGTTATGTTGATACACGTAACATATTCATCCATTGTAGTCAAGCTGAGAAATATTGGCGCAACTTCTGGTGCTTCAAATTAGGCCCCTTCCTAAACACTAGTTGAAAAATCTCTGTAATAATTTACGTTTTATGAATATAAACTGATTATTGTGTGGTACAAATCTAACTGTTGAATGCAAATGACCAAAACTAAACAAATATCTGTAATTTTCTGATTGAACTGAAAGAATCGCGTCGTCAATTTCGTATTTAAGTATCGTTACTGTTACATTAACTGAAACTGATGTTCTGCTGCTGTTCTGCCGTAAAAATATACAACACAATACACTTTGACCACAAATGCATTAAATGTGCCACATGTACACATGACCATGTGCTTTGCTATTTATAGCACAAACGTAAATAAGCTCCGCCCACTGTGATCGATGCAGACGCCAAACATGATCGATTCGATTTTTTAGGATAAAACTACAGAAAATTTATTGACTTATATCTTGATATGGAGCCATTTGTTGTATCCATGGTTTGTCATTCAAGTTGATACGAAGTTTGACGGTCAATGGTGATCTTGTTCCCGTATGGTTTTCAAAAAACGTCTCCCAACACTCGGTTGTGTTTACATTGTCAGTCATTGTTCGAAACTGAAACACCGCCACCTTGCGGGCTATTTATAGTCAGGGTGGGGCTTTAAGGTATTTATTGAAAAACAACTCTTAAAAAAAAAGTTTTTTTCGCTCATGGAGTTTTAAAGGTAAAAAACCAGAGTGAACACTCACTTTGCACCACACAGTAAGCACACCGGTTTTCACATTTATACCTCCATAACAGTAGGAACGACATCTTCTGGATTCAATGCTTTAACAATCATCCTGGACATACAGCACAACCATCTGAATTTAAATTCAAGCAGAGATGAGAAGACAAAACATCAGTCTAATATCCTACAGTTGACATATATGATAAGTTTTGAGCCACATATAGAAAGAGTTGACCTAAAGACTTTAAAACGGTTATTTTTCAACATAATCCTCTTCCACATGGATACACTTTTGCCAATGATGTTGGTGGGATTTTATCCCAATTCTGTAGAGGTTCTTCTCTTGGCTGTCCAAAACGTTCTCCAAAGCTGCTATGATACCATCCTAAAAATTAATATGGTTGCATGATCTATTCATGATGTTTTGGTTGAACATTGTAACATTCTTCTAAACATACTTCAAATCTAAACCGGAAGTAATCACAACACAAACCAAGTTAACCAAACAGAACCGTACACAAGAGTAATGAGTGAGTGAGTGAGTTAGTTGGGTTTAACGCCACTTTCTATAGTATTCCACTTATATCACGGCGTATCAGCTTGATGTGGAAGGATAGCCCAAAGTGATGCAGGTCTTAGACGTTCACCACTTTAATGAAACCCACAAGCACGGATATAGTGCTGACAACATAATCGAACTGGGATTCGAACACACTGTCATAGGTTTCTAGCGTGCCCAAGGGACACAATTCTGCATAGCGAAGGCAGCGCCTTAGGTGATTGGGCCAATTGTGCCCCGTACACTACTGTAACAAACTTTCATACAACAAAGATGTTTTTGATGAGATAACATTCCATGAAGAAACAGTGCCAGTATTACACTGTCACTAACTTCAAAATATATGCACAATACATCACAGGTACATCCACAAAGGAGGTACATTATAACAATTTTATTTTAAAACAAGTGTATTATAATGATATGGAAACACTGAGAATTGAGCAACTCTATGGCAATGTTGTACATATAAGTGAGTGAGTTGGGTTTAATGCCGCTTTTAACAGTATTCGTCATATCACAGCGTTTGAACATACAAGGAATTTGTTTATAATTGTAGATATGATAACCGATCTTGGAAATTGTTTCTGGATAACTGTTGGTAAAAATTATTAAAAATTGTTCCTTGTAACAGAGACTTGACCAACCTTATCTTGATGTAGGATAAATGGGAATCCCTTAACGAATGCATGAACATATTGTTACATTTGTTACCGCAAAACAATTTGCTCAGTTGGCTCAAGTATTTGTTAATATATCTATGACGTCTTGTAGTGTCCACAACAAAACATTTCTGTATTGTGCAATTCCTTCTATGTGATGCATGGAACTTATCACTCTACCCTGGTATGTTCCATAATAGCTGAAAGAAATACTTTTGCCAATTTGCTTTTCCTCAAAGTCCAAGATGGGATTCAAATGGCGACTATGCTTGTCATAAGAGGCGACCAATGGGATTGGGTGGCCAGGTTTGCTGACTTGGTTGGTGCATGTCATCGTATCCCAGTTGCGTAGATTGATGCTTATGATGTCATTCACTGGATTGTCTTGTCCAGACTTGATTATTTACAGACTGTTGTCATATAGCTGGAGTGCGGTGTTAAACAACAAACAAACTAAGACTGCTCTACATGCACTTGGTCAAGATGCTTATACATGTACCTGTAGGTTTTAACTCACTGGGCATGGGTGGCCTAGTGTCTTACATTCATCATCTGTTGTGTTTTGTTTCGAATATATACTCTCTCAAAGTGGAGAGTTGTCATGGGAGACAACTGTCTAATGATCCTTAGGGGTTTCTAATAGAACCTATAATCCATGTTCTTGTGCCAAATTTAGTCCTATGTCTAGGCATTGTTATTAGTTCCCTGTGTGAAATGAGGACATTGTCTTTGTGTTATTTGGACAATCACTCATGAACAAACAAACGAACGAGGTTACCATCCAAAGACTTACGTTAAACACTTTGAAGTATAAACAAAGCCAATTATTTCAGGTTATCATATCTTTGCAAGGACAGAAAAAAGTATGGATCAGTCAATGGCAATATCAGGCAAAGAATCATAGGCTGGCTATATTGACTGTTTCTTTAGCCTGACTGGTGTATACATTGCGTATTACTGCCAGATCAAACCAACTACCAGTACTGATGAACAGGGAGATCTGTATTCCCTTATTTGGTTCACCTATAAACTGTCCACGGTCAAGCCACTCACTTTTTTGGTGCCATTGTTTGCTGGAGGCAGTTGCATGTCCCGTGATAGTTAATGTGATCATAGAAAAACAATATGTCATCCTCTGATTGGCTGTTTTGGAGAATCTGATACAGCTAGGCTGTAGTGATGTATGGAAGTATTGATGTATAGTGAAACAATAATGCACCAATGTCTGTGATATATTTTCCTGCCAAGGGTTGTACATTGTGCTGTCCTGTCATTCTCGGATTACCTGTTTTTGAGATTTCGGATGTTGCTGTGGCCAGAATAAAGTCCAGGAATGTTGATGTATCATTTTAAGATCCCCTTCATGTCATGTCTAGAAGATTTATTGTTTTTATTAATGTGTGTGTTTTTTCATTGTAAATTGGTGTAACAGTTATACTTTAAAAAAATTCAACAATGGCAGGTTTCTAAAATTTGGAAATCATGCTGTTTTTAAATCAACATCAAAACTATTGTTGTATTTTATGTCTGTATTTCATAATGCAAATTGTAGCATGGGAAGGTATAGTTTCATTTCATAACTTACCAATTGTTATATGGGTAACTCTGGTATCTGTAGGTGATCAGTCATCAGCCCTTTGCTGGCTGGTTGAAATTATGGTAGCCTGCGATGCGAGTCTTAACGACAGGCAATAGGCGGCTCCAATACGACAGTCCTATTGATCTTCCTGGATTTTTCGGCTCTTTAGCGAACATGTTATTTGGCTGTGTTTTTAACCATATCTTTTGCTTTGAAGGAGATCACATTTGGTTTAGTGTTGAAATTGAGATGTACACATACAATATCATAGTGGATTGCATGAAGACGTCAATAGCTCATTGTTGTTGATTTTCTCTTGTGGAATATTTCTGCAGCACAAACATTGTATTTTTTTTTAGACGAAAACTTTCTTTGAGGATTTCATTTGATGTTTTCAGATGAATATCAGTGTCAGTGAAATCCCTCTCAATGTCATGAACGGTCAATAATATATTCTTTTGAAAAAGTGATCAATTTAAGATGTTGTCAAGTGTGTCAGGAAGCAGAGCTATTTTCTTCAGATCCAGTTACACGCACATTGATTCATGGCATGGTCCATGTATTCATCTTACAGCTGGGATCTGTCTCCACAGCAGACATATATGTATCTGTATACATAACAAGCATCAATTCAGTTCCATAGCAGGCATATGCCTAACTGTATACACACAGTTCCATAGCAGGCATATGCCTAACTGTATACATACAGTTCCATAGCAGCCATATGCCTAACTGTATACACACAGTTCCATAGCAGGCATATGCCTAACTGAATACACACAGTTCCATAGCAGGCATATGCCTAACTGTATACATACAGTTCCATAGCAGCCATATGCCTAACTGAATACATACAGTTCCATAGCAGGCATATGCCTAACTGTATACATACAGTTCCATAGCAGCCATATGCCTAACTGAATACATACAGTTCCATAACAGGCATATGCCTAACTGAATACATACATACGTTCAGTGCAGGCACATGTCCAACTGTGTATATACATGTATCCATACCAAATGTCCCTATTGGAGTGCATCATTGTATCATTAGTTAACTGTTTGTTTCAGGCACATGAAATCAGTGATCAGGAATGTTGCATCTGATGAGAACTGCGATGTTCACCAGACAGTGCTTGCAATCCGAGAAGGGAAGGAGGGCTGGTTCCACCTGTATTGCCCCGGGGGCATTGCATGTGATGACGAGGGAGACCTCTGGGGGGTCATGGTAAGTTTATATTGGACTCTCAGCATACCATTTTATGAACAAATCTTTGAAGTATTACAAATAGAGAGTAACACCCTCCTTTCTTTTGACATCAATATATCAACTCATCAGGAAGTCGATGATATATTTGATGTCAAATGACACTCAGGTGAGGTTCTCTGGTTACCATCTAGCATGGTACGCTACATGATGGCGGTAGTTAACTTATGATGGATCGTGATAGCACACGCTTACTGACTTATTAAATATGTCATACGCAAATGTTTCTTGTTCTTTGTTCAACTTTTATGACACATCAGTTAGGATTGATTGATGCTGATTTTCTTTACCAAGTTTGTTTACCAAAGTACCTGTCATTAGTGATTCAAGGGCAGGCAACTATATTATCAAGGTATGGTTATTTTGTGGTATGATACATGCGGGATATGAACTTTACATCACTTCCTGTTTTGGATTATGCATATTCAGTATGCATACGACCTAGTTTGGGACAACGGACTTCGTCCTAACAGATGGGTTCTTTTCTAATCAATTTCAAATGGAGGTAGGGGTAATTCTACTTCAAAAACGTTCCAGAAACTAACATAAAAAAGTTTATGTGTATACTTAAGAGTAGCTATGATAATGAGTCCTGTATTCGATCAAGTGATGGAATACTGTGCTCAGATTTGCAACAGTTAAACAGTCAACAATGGGTGTGGATTACGAGATTTACCAATAGTGCTTTAATAGAGAGCCAGCAATAATAGAGAGCCAGCAATAATATAGTTTCATACTATACTGTCAGTCTTTTCTTTCTCTTTGTTGATTATATTTTGAACACATTGAGAATCTGTAAAATTGCAAATAACAAACGGAGAAGGTATTCTAAATTGTATAACTTCCCAATTCTATTCATTTTGGAGCATAAAATATGTTTGCATTAATTGTATAGATAGGGGTTGTTCCACAATAATGGCCCTGTACGTCATGGTTGCCAAGCAACTAGGATGGGCATCAAGTGGTCACAATGGATGCAGCACATAAATAGTACCAAGATGTGGTAACCAACTTTCGTCATTGTAAGCCACATACTGTCAACTCGTTTTACTAAGGAATGCTCTCTGCCTCCTGGCATTTATTCACCTGATGAAGGAGTAAGCATATACCCCGAAATGTTGTGTTCCTCATAATAAAGAAGTTGACGTCCATATATTCTCTTCCTTATGTGTATCACTTCTAAATGCCTTTCAAAGACCTAGTTTTACTAAGCCCCAATGATGTCAAACTGAGATAATCACAGGTTTGTATGGTCTGAAAACTGTGTGAACACCTGGGTTAGAACAGTGGCACTTATTTGGTTCACTAAGGCAGTAATAAGTAGCTTTTTATTTATTATCCCCACCATGAAATGGAAGGGGGATATAGGAATTGGTGCTGTCCTTCTGTCCCTCCATCCTTCTGTCTATCTGTCCGTCTGTCTGTTACGTTTCGTTTCTGGAGCAGACCTAAAAAACCATGAGAGATCTCTTAACCAAACTTGGCACATACATAGGTCTAGTGGTGAACTGGTGCCTTTTGATAGTTAGGGATTTTTTACTTAAATATTTTTCGGGTTTCCATAGCAACGACTTTGACTTTGAATAAGACGGTTGTGCTTGTTCCCGAAGGGCTAATGCCTTGCGCACAACCGGACATGTGATATTGGCTGGGGATATGAGTATTTCATGCTTGTTATGTTAATATATATGACTTGAAAAGAAATTCCTTTCAAGGGTATGTGAGACTCAATATTTTGGGATGTTTTTTCCCCCAATGAAAATATTATTCAATCAATGAATATTTAGAAAAGTGTAGGTTGGGTTTTGAAATGGTCCCTCATGATTCTGAACTGTAATCAAAGTTTGGTGATCAGACTGGTATGTAATAGACTATTCAGAGGATAACTGATCAAATCAGTTTCACTCAATAGAATCAAACTTTATTTCCTAAATTCTATATTTCTCCCCATTTTACTGATGTCAATGAAAGTGACAATTTAATGTTGATTTCCACAGATAATTACCACAAGACTTTGTCCACTATTAGTTGGATACGAAATTGTGCACCCATGCCTCTGAGAAAGAATGAGTTAGTGTAGCATCAAATGTGAAGTAATGGGGCTTCAGTCTTGAAAGGAGTTGTAAACATGTCCTAAGTTAGCGGATCGTCCCCCATTACAGCATCATGGGCCAGTTAAGTCAGCTGTACATCACAAGTGAACATGACAAGATGCGGACAAAAATTGTTTTAATTCCTGATAGATTCAGCCGGTTGTGAGAACTTAATGCATTTCATGATAGGAAACTCAGTAACTTCTGACTTTTATTGACCATTCACCCACTCCTGTGTTGTAGCCTATATCCACCGAGCAGAGGAAACGGTCACTGCAATGCCCAGGGCTTAACGATAGTCTGTTTTTTACCAGATTTAATCAAGCTTGTCTTGAGGGCCAGATATTGATTGAAAGTAAACGATGATATTTGCAAACAGCTCCATTGACATCTTACCACACAGTGTCTCAGAAGACTGAAATACAGCCAATCAAATTGCCACATGCTACACTAACCAATCAGATTGATACATTGGGGTGTGATAAAAGTTGGTACTAAGCTTTTTATTGATCATCGTATTGCTTCTGTAGAGTTTAATTGTGCAAGGTCAGCTTCTGGGAATGCCAGAATGGGTGGAAGTACCAAGATTAGCACATTCAGTAAACCTGTCAGTGGGCTTATAATTCAGGCATCAAGGTGACCAATATGAGATTAGATCTCAATGCAGTTGATAACCCATTAAGGCTGTATAAGGAAGTGCAAACCTTCTGTGGTTGTATTGGTTCAAGTTTTGTTAATAGGAATTATTGGCATTATGTGATAGCAAATCCATTTTTCTGATATTTGGATGTATTTGAATGCTACAAGTAAAACTAAGTATAGAAGCCTCTTCCTCTTTGTTGGACCTGTTATCAGGGAAATATACACTTGCCTCAACAATGACATAACATTATTTTTAGGTTAGAAGACAGCATTTGTGAAAAGTCTTTGTAGAATTGGAATGGAAGGATGGTGTCTCCATTTGTAATGTCCATGTAGTGTTATAATGGTAGGACAGTATGTTTGTGACAGGCCCTTGTAGTGTTGGTTTGAATGGTAGGTTAGTATTGGAATGGTAGGTCATGGTAATATTGGGATTGGAGAGCAGTGTCTGTCTGGTAGGTCATGGTAGTATTTGAATGGTAGAGCAGTGTCTGGTAGGCCATGGTAATATTGGGATGGTAGAGCAGTGTCTGTGTGGCAGGTTCTGGTAGTATTGGGATGGTTGAACAGTGTCTGTCTGGTAGGTCATGGTAGTATTGGAATGGTAGAGCAGTGTCTGATAGGTCAGGTAATATTGGGATGGTAGAGCTGTGTCTGTCTGGTAGGTCATGGTAGTATTGGGATGGTAGAGCAGTCTCTGTCTGGTAGGTCATGGTAGTATTGGGATGGTAGAGCAGTGTCTGGTAGGCCATGGTAGTATTGGGATGGTAGATCAGTGTCTGATAGGTCAGGTAATATTGGGATGGTAGAGCAGTGTCTGGTAGGCCATGGTAGTATTGGGATGGTAGAAAAGTGTCTGGTAGGCCATGGTAGTATTGGGATGGTAGAGCAGTGTCTGTCTGGTAGGCCATGGTAATATTTGGATGATAGAGCAGTGTCTGTCTGGTAGGCCATGGTAATATTGGGATGATAGAGCTGTGTCTGTCTGGTACGTCATGGTAGTATTGAGATGGTAGAGCTGTGTCTGTCTGGTACGTCATGGTAATATTGGAATCATAGAGCAGTGTTTGCCTGTGATATGGTGAAGCTAATGTGTAACATGATCAGGGCAATAGTTCTCTTGTTGTTCCTACATGTGGCGTGTGCCCTTGTGATATGGATTACTGAATGGCTGCCTGTGTTTCAGCTGCGGACATTGATCAGGTGTTGTTGCAAGAGGAAGAAGTTCCTGCAGGGGATGACCAAGATGATTGAGCCAGTTATGCTCCTTGCCATCAGGGACAATGTTGCAGCCATGGAGGTCAGTACACACCAGGGGACGTGGGAGAGGATGGATCCTGTCTTTTGTAACAGTCGACTCAATTGGATGATATGCTCAGGCATGATACCCCCAACAGCATGGGACATTGACCATAATTTCAACCAATTGTTTGTCAAGCCAGATTCAATTACTTGCAGGCCATACAGGCAGCTTTGGTTTAAATATTGCTGACTGTGGTGTTACATAAAATTCACTCAGTAGTCACACAAGCAGGTACAACATGCAGTGGGATCTTGTTCGTCTTAGTACAGCTACTATAAACAAGATAACATCTCAACAGAAAAGCTAAATAGTGAGTGAGTGAGTGAGTATGGTTTTACGCCGCTTTTAGCAATATTCTAGCAATATCACGGCGGGGACACCAGAAATGGGCTTCACACATTGTACCCATGTCAGAAAACGAACCTGGGTCTTCGGTGTGACGAGCGAACACTTTGACCACTAGGCTACCCGACCCCCCCTGAAAAGCTGAATAAATATTATAGGCCTAGTGTAGTGGTTAAAGTGTTTGCTTACTACGTAAATAACTGAGATTGTTTCCCACATAGGCACAATGTGTGATTCCCATTTATGTGGTCCAACACCACTATTGCTTGAATAATGCTAAAGTAGCACAAAAACATCTTCGCTGTTTTTCAAGTAGGGTGCTTACAAAGCTCTGAACTGATATTTGAACAATCCTTTAACCACAGTGTTCGGGTGAATTCTTTCCATGCATTGATCGAAGACATTTATTAGGTGAAATTTTGTAACCAAATGTAGTATAGCAAGATGCACAACAGACCCTACACTGTTCTCAATGGCCAATATTGAATCCCAGATAGTATGAACGTAAAAGCACCATTAGGTCTACAATATAAAACAATATACATGTATCCTAAACAAAGATATACACATAAAATTCATATGCTGAGCATGATACTATAAAATGCCACATGCATTCATGCTTACCTTCATTTCTTTATTTATTCTTACTTTCATTTATACCTCCTTTCATTCATTCATGCTTAACTACATTCATTCATCACATGCAGGCTTGCTTAGCCTTACCTCCTATGTCACAAATGAGGTCTACTATTATTACTAAAGTTACTAATAATACTTTTAGTTTAATGCTTATACATGTTTTAATAAACTTTAGGATACTTATCTGGTTGTTTAACTCAATAATCACGAATCCACATTCTGTGTATTCGTGTCTAAACACACATATATCCAAATACAAACACTATCTACAATATTGCAAATACAATTAATTAAAAAAATCAATCCAATAATAAAATACTAACCTTGGAATTTGATCCAAAGCCCCAAAGCGATCCTTGCGAATAACAAGTGAGAATATAGATAAATGTTTATCCTTTGAAAGGTATATGTGGAGTGACCACAGTCCTATGTGTCCAGTACACAGCATGGCTGAGTACCCAAGCTGGCCTTACAGACAAAAGGGCTTGAGTAGGGAAAAGGCCTTGCCTATTGTGTTAGTGCACAGGGTGTGACATTCACAAACTAACCATGCAGTAAGCATCCTTAGAAAAAGGGCTGTGACTGATAGTGTAGAGTTTAAGGTAAGCTGAACAATAAAATAAGATGACTAAAACTGCATTTAATTGTGTACATGAATTATACTTAAAAGGTAAAATACAAGAAATATTCAAAATCTGTTACTGCCACAGTATTATTCCTCTTATTTGATTATTTCCACTTATTATGTTCAGGACCAAATCTTTTACTGATTTCGGGCTCATTTAAGCAGAGGCAGTCTGCACTGTGGTAAATGATGCATCAGTTTTGATTTGCTTATACTCTCATGTCTATTTTTAAGGGGGCGGTGGGGTAGCCTAGAGGTTAAAGCGATCGCTTGTCACACCAATGGGTACAATGTGTGAAACCAATTTCTGATGTCCCCCGCTGTGATATTGCTGGAATATATATCGCTAAAAGCAGAGTAAAACCAAACTCACTCACTCACTATTTTTAAGTGCCTTATACACATTGTCAAATCAAACAGGGATTTGCAATGACAACCTACAGTCTTGTCTGCATTCACTACATCAGAGATCATCAAATGTTTGTGAAGGTTATGTCATTAACATGTACTCAGTTATCTGGTGTATTATATCCATTCTATTATGCTAAATACCCGGGAACTGTTTTCTACCACATATTTGTTTTGAACCTGAATCGAATAAGACAATGCTAGAAATAGTCATCCAGTTAAATTCCTCGCACAAGTTGATTGAACCACTGATCTTGCTGTGCAGGCAGGTGCCCTATCCACTACACCACAGAGGCAGGTGCCCTATCCACCACACCACAGAGGCAGTGCATACACTAAATAAACAAGGATGTTTCTATGAACATTCATGAACTACTTGAAATACTGTTATCAAGAAAACATTCCACTCACAATATTTACCTCTGTACCATGGGCCTGAGGCCCATCAGTTTGACAAGTCAATTAATTAACAAATGCACCTGTCACAGCTTGTAGTGTATCCACCTAGCTGACAGCTCTTCTATCAAGGGTCACTCTGTTTTTCATCCAAGGAAATGTTTTTGTAGGTTTGTGTCACATGCAGGCACCATTGGACCATTTCCCCTGTGAAACCCTGACCTACTTTACAAAATGTTTGAGAATATGTTTTTGGCCTGTGTTGGTTAATTTTGAAGTCAAGGTTTCTTGGTCTTGAAACAGATGAGTCTGGGTGATAAGATGGATCATTGACCATTAGGATTAGGAAAGTGATTCTTTAGACTAAAATACTTCCTTGGCCTTTCTGTTGACTGTATCAGCAAGCATTCGCAGAAAAAAGTACATTTTTCAAGTTTAAGACAAAAATAAATTCTGGCAAATAGGCATAACAATTGATAATAGTGAGTGAGTTGGGTTTAACGTCGCTTTTAACAGTATTCTAGTTATATCGTGGCGTGTCAGCTTAACGTGGGAGGAAAACCTGAAAGTGATGCAGGTCTTAGACGTTTAACACTTCGGGGAAACCCACGAGCACGGGTATGGTGCTGCCAAATCTAGAAACATAATTGGGGCAAACTGGGATTCGAACCCACAATCATAGGTTTCCCAAGGGAGGCAACTCTGCACAGTGAATCACGGCACCTTAGACGACTGGGCCATCCGTGCCCTGCAATTGAAAAGAAGTTGACCTTCCCACATCAAATTAACTGAAGTCATGACGTTTTATGTGTCTGGATATAATTGTTTGATATGTAAAATGATTGGCTGTATTTAATCATTTATGTTATTGTCAACTTTAAGCCATGATGAAATAATATTTATGTTTTGTTACTGCATTTAATCAGGCAAACAGTCATTTGCCATCACAGTAAGGCAGACTGTCTGGTATTCGGGGGCACAGTGGTCTGATGCGCCATCATCCCCTGTGCAGAGCTGTGTGTTCCTTAGCCATTCCTAAATCTGCTGGTCATAGTGTTGAGTCCCAGATTCTCTACATTTACGATTCTTGGTCTACCAGCACCATTCCCTTGGTTGTGGATTCCACCAAAGTGGAAAAAGTGTATGTATGACCTGCATCACTTTGGACTTTTCCCGACTGTCAATCTGAGGCATGCTGCTCTATACCCCCTACTAACTGACTTGTGTGTACCAGGTGCTGTGTTCCATGCTTGAGCTGGAGGTGATATCCAGCCAGGATCTGAAGATGCAGATGATCACCACGTTACAGAGCACCACGGATGGCAAGCGGATGTATGCAGCGCTCTGCGAGAGACAGATCGCCCTCAGGGAACTGGTAAGAGTACATCCTAATATTCCAACCTGGTTAGAATCCAGGTTGGAATTGGCCTTTGGCAACCTATGCTGTGCTGACTAACAGGATCGGATGGGTAGACTTGTTGAATTGGTTCATGCATGTCATGGTATGCCAATTGCGTAGATCGATGCTCACAATTGCTGGATCGTTTGGACTCGACTATTTACAGACCACTGTCATATTGTCAGAATATTACTGAGTGTGGCGTAATAACATTCTGGTTGTTTGGTATTTCTCATTTGTATGGATATTCTTTTATTTCATGAGGAAGAAAGAATGTGCCAGGGTGTACTGAAGGTACAACGTCTTAAGACCAGTCTTGATGCCCCCACCACAATAATACTGGAATATTGCTCAAAATGGCTAATAACCGAACTTCATTCACTAGTAAACAAAGTTTTGAATAATATTTTTTTAGGCTTACATCACAAAGTAAGGGCAAATTTTTACCTTATGAATGTTAGGGCCTGGACCTTGTTCAATAAAGCAGTCGCTAAGACGACCATCATTCCGAATTTGTAACCAGACAATCAAGTGATTGACATCATGAGCATCGATCCACACAATTGGGATACGATGACATGCATCAACCAAGTCACCGAGCCTGACCACCCGATCCCGTTATTCGCCTTTTACGACAAGCATTGTCGCCTTTTACGGCAAGCATGTGTTGCTGAAGACTTATTCTACCACGGATCTTCACTGGTGGCCATACTAAAACATAGACTTATGCCATACTATAACATAGACTTACGTCAGGTGCAGTCGCTAAGACGATCATGACACTCATACTGTAACATAGACTTACGACAGTCGTAGTAGCACCAAGATGATCATAACTCCCATACTGTAATATAGACTTACGACAGTCAAAAGTATTACTAAGACGATCATGACTCGCATACTGTAACATAGACTTACGACAGTCTTAGTAGCACTAAGACAATCATAACTCCCATACTGTAATATAGACTTATGATAGTTGCACTCGCTAAGACGATCATGCTACCCATACTGTAACATAGACTAACGACAGTCATAGTAGCACTAAGACGATCATGACACCCATACTGTAACATAGACTTATGACTCTTGTAAACTGCATGCAACTTAAACTGAATTCAATAAAATGTTTGTTGAAGGTATTTTATGGGCTTTCAATACTGGAAAGTTCATTTGATAAGACTTGCCACATTGTAAGTTCTCTTTGGCCAGTGAAATTGGATAACTTTTTGAGACATGGGTGACTGGGTGAAATGGGGTCCCAGTCACAATAAGTGTATCCAGATCCTGACCCAGTTGTTACGGTGACATTGTACATTTCAGCAACAAAAAGGTGGTCCAAAGAAACTGACTCTCCCCTCCAAATCAACGGATGCTGATTTGACGAAGATGCTTAGTTCTGGGTCCTTTGGGAATCTAGAATGTCTCAGTCTTGCCTTTACACAAGTCACTAGCTCCTGTGCTCATGAACTCATCAAGTTGCCTTCGCTCCGATACCTGAATCTCTGGTCCACACAGGTTGGTATTGCTTTATCAGGATAGGACTGTTAGGCTTATGGTTAAAGTGTTTGCTTGTCATACTGAAGACCAAGGTTTAATTCCCTACACAGTGTGGCAACATCAAGCCTTCTACCTGGGTTGGGGTGTTTGGTGTATTAGCTTGGATTCAGGTAGATTTGCACTTGTGATGCTCATGCTTGGTGTCCTAGCTGTTGGTGTGATTTTGCTGGAATACTGATAAAGCCACCATGCTCAGTCACTCACTTCTCTGGGGGCATGGGTGGCCCAGTCATCTAAGGCGCTGCAATTCTCTGTGAAGAGTTGCGTCCCTTGGGCACGCCAGAAACCTATGATTGTGGGTTCGAATCCCAGTTCCCCCCGATAATGTTTCTAGGTTTGTAAGCACCATAACCGTGCTCGAGGGTTTCACCGAAGTGGTAAACGTCTGAGACCTGCATCACTTCGGGCTTTCCTCCCACATAAAGCTGACACACCACACCAATACTCCTCTTGATGTAAAGCATTTGATGATAATCGTAATTAGTTTCCGTTGTTGTGACATTACTGTTTACTTTTGCATCAGCTAAAATATAAATATTTTTGTTTAGCCAACCCTTTTTAACTGTTGGAGGATGAAAAAGAAATAAAAAAGAAGTTCCTGAATATTTCATTTTCTTGACAAGACTTTATAACTGAATTATGAAAATATCTCAGAGAGAAAACACATACAATGTTCTCTTTTGTTATATCAACTTACTGTTTGCAGGAGTGACAAATGCAGAATTGCATCCCTCAGGAATATCAGAAACCTATGATTGTGGGTTCAAGTCCTAGATTGGCCCTGATTATGTTTCTTGGTTTGTCAGCACCAAACCCTTCATCATGGGGTTCAACAAAGTGGTTAATGCCTAAGCTGACATGCCAGTATCTATTTGAAATACTGTTAGCAGCATTAAACTAACTCCCTCACTATTGTGATATTGTAACAGCCCTTTTGAGTACACAAAAGGCGGTCGGGTAGCCTAGTGGTTAAAACGCTCGCTCGTCGTGCCGAAGACCTGGGTTCGATTTCTGACATGGGTACAATATGTGAAGCCCATTTCGGGTGTGCCCCGTTGTGATATTGCTGGAATATTGCTAAAAGTGGCTTAAAGCCATGCTCGCTCGCTCGCTCACTCACTCACTCACTCACTCACTCACTCACACAAAGTATCTTCTGTCTGCAGTTTGGTGACGTGGGTCTGCAGTTGATCTCGGAGCACCTTCACAAGCTGCAGGTGTTGAACCTGTGTGAGACCCCGGTCACTGATAAGGGACTTGTTTCATTGTCAGGTAGGCCACCTCTTAACATAGATAATGTAGGTGATATTCTGGACATTCTGAACATTCTGAATTTACTGATGGATATATTAAATGTTGTATGGGACCATGACATTTTTGAAACTGCTTACACTACTCAAAAGAAGGTAAAGAACACCTTATTCTTTTACATAGCTATAGTTAAATTGTTTGATAGGCATTAATTAGAAGTTGACGGATGACAAGGTAGACACAATTTTATGGATAATGACTTCTTTAATACTGTAAAAAGCGACGTATTGGTGTAGATGCTTATACTTGCTTGACAACAGTATTAGGATCTATATTGAAACGTCGCTTTTTACAGTATTAAAGAAGTCATTATCCATAAAATTGTGTCTACATTGTCATGACTATATTTAACCTGTTATGGCCTTTACAGATTAAGTTTTGTCATATAAAAACAAAATTGGCTGTCCTAAAATTCTTTTGAGCAGTATATTTTATGATTACACCATCACATTAGACATAAGTTTATGTTTTAGTTACTGCCTCTTTAATTCTACTGTGGTATTCAGGGGGAGCATTCTCCTAAAAAAGGCAGGCTCTGACAAAACATTTGAGTTTTCTTAATAATTTTCTCAATAGTGTCTTGTGTTTCATTTCTAGATATTTTTGACATGGCATATGGACTTAGCATAGCACAACTGACTAGAAGAAGTTTTAGTAAACTTTGGCTATGGTGTTGCACATGGAAAGATGAAGCAGTAGCAATGATATTTACCATGGGAATCCAGAAACCTGAATTATGAATACTCTTCCTTTATATTTCAGCATTGAAGAACTTACGGAAACTTAATTTAAATAGCACAAGCCTTTCAGCTCTAACCTTTGAAGGATTGAAGGTGAGAGTTTAAGCTGTAATTGGTTATATGGCTTCAGGTTATTGAACAAGTCGTTCACAAAACATCCCTTTGGAAAATGTTTCTCACATAAAGTCAATTCCTAAGAACCCCCACCTTATTTACACTTGTATTGATCAGTATCAGAAATTCCATACTGTACATTTACATATGAACAAGAATACTCAAAATGAATCTTTTCATTATATTCTTTTGTGTGGGGAATACATCAGTGAAATTCATTCCTGTGGTAATGATACTGGTCATGAGAAGTTAAGGTTGGCATCTGGTTGCCTCAATGTTTGCCGAGCATTAACCATACTTACAGAGGCCACCACCAAGTGGCACTCATGCCTACCTGGCATAGATGATACTTACAGAGGCCACCACCAAGTGGCAACCATGCCTGCCTGGCATAGATGATACTTACAGAGGCCACCACCAAGAGGCACTCATGCCTACCTGGCATAGATGATACTTACAGAGGCCACCACCAAGTGGCACTCATGCCTACCTGGCATAGATGATACTTACAGAGGCCACCACCAAGAGGCACTCATGCCTACCTGGCATAGTTAATATTTACAGAGGCCACCACCAAGAGGCAATCATGCATGTATCATACTAAGAGGTTGCCATGAGGTTGCCTCAAAGTCTGCCTGGCATGGGCAGTACTTGAAGAGGTCACCACCAAGTGGCAACCATGCCTGCCTGACATAGATGATATTTACAGAGGTCACCACCAAGTGGCAACCATGCCTGCCTGACATAGATGATATTTACAGAGGTCACCACCAAGTGGCAACCATGCCTACCTGACATAGATGATATTTACAGAGGTCACCACAGTTGGCCACCATCCCTGGCATAGTTGATACTTACAGAAGTCACCACCAAGTGGCAACCTTGCCTGCCTGGCATAGATGATATTTACAGAGGTCACCACAGTTGGACCCCATCCCTGGCATGTATGATACTTAAAGAAGTCATTACCCGATGGTTTCCATGTGTGCATGGCATGTACCATACTGTACACACAGTGGTGACCGATTTAAGTGTGTTTTTTCAGTTTGGGCATTTGTAAAATTGACATGTTTGTTGAGGTTCAATACATAGCTAGGAGGAACCATGAAGCCAGCGTTTACTCTCCAACTTACTGGAACTTTGGAAAATGTGTATGACATCACCTTGGTACCATCCCAGTTGTTAGTCAAACCCACGGTACCATCACAATTGTATGAAACACTTGGTACCATCAAGAATTAATGGTTAATGAAAACAAACCTTGCATTTGGTATATTTTTCCAAAACGGAAGTGAATATATTAAGCTGGAAATGCATATTTTAGAGTAGTTAAAGGTACTGGGCACCGTTCCTCAAAGCTACATTAGCGCTACAATGATCGTAAGCCTATGTTAAAGTATGGGACTTACGATCACCTTAGCGCTAAGATCGCTTTGAGGAACGGGGCCCTGGACTTAGTTTTACTACATTAGGGATCAAAGATGAACATAGATACATACTGGTTAGCTCAGCTGGCACCTAATTTGGTATAGCCAGAATTGTCATTGATACATGTGGTGGGAAGGGTGTGCTTCTGTTAGAGACACCTTTCCAGCCCACACCATGCAGTTGTTCAATTGTTTTCATTGTTAGTGAAGCGGTCATCCTATCAATAAATTGTTGTTATGAAATGACGATAATGTCACCAATTGTCCATGACATCACAGATGGATTTTATGTGATGTCCTACCAGCAATGGATTCACTACTGTCTGCCTTGTGTTTGGGTATTGGTAATATGCAGAGAAGCTCACCTGAGTGTCTTTTGATATGAAATATTAGCAACACAAGTTGATAAAAGTTAATAAAGTAAAGGCTTGCTAAAGAGTTTTAAACTTTAATGAACTAGTGTTGTTGATATGTTTTTTTATGAAAAGACATGTTTGTGAGATTCTTTGTAGCATCCAAAATCATTCTTTTTTTCATGAGTAAACAGTAATAACCAGTGCCTTGAGTGTAAAATTAGAGCTAACCAGTTTCAGTGGCAGACAGATAATCGATGTCATTTGATTGTGGCATCATGGTTACTGGTGCTGTCACAATTGGGCTGCAAAACATTGTGATGCAATTCATTTTGACGATATCTCCCGTGGAAGCCAGTTTCGGATAATAACTAGAGTTACCTACACCCAAGCCTATGATATAACATAAGTACAATAATCTGAAAAATATGGACATTTTTTGTGTGTAGTGTTGTTGTTTGGGGGAGGGGGGGAAGGAGAGAGATGGAATATGTCTGAAATATGTCTGTATTTATTTTATTAACTAGATGAACAATTATTCAACTGGACAAAAATGTCACCCTGTGTTGGTGTTTTTCCTCAGTAGTGGAGGTCACTTTGACCTTTCTACTTCCCAGGCACGACTAAGGAAGCTCACATGCGGACATTGATCTGCTCTTTGTTCTTTGCAATGCTTGCAAACTCACTACATTTAGTAATAAAATTTGACAGAACCAAGTCTTTTTGGTGAAGGAGAAACTATCTTGAAGATTGTTTTTTCTGGAATTGAAATTGGCTTAGGATTTGATCATATCAAGTTTCACCTCTGTGCATATCAGTTTGATGCTTCTGTTGCAGCTAACCACACTTTGTCATTAAGATTAAGAAAATAATGTATCACTATTTCTGTTTATAATCAGGCATTTCATAGAAAGAACATTGGGGTTGTAATTTCCAATATTGTGATTTAACCATTGCTTGAGAGAACCACTTCTGTTCTTTCAGGTTTTTTTTGTGAGATGCATCCATCAAAGGATGGAATTAGGAATTTAGGAAAGGGGATCCAAGTGTAATATTTTTCAATGTATATTTTGTATGAGTTGGGTGGAAAATGAAAGTGTATGTGTAGTTTTCAAAAGGTAAAAGGTTTTGTGTCAAAACGAAGTTGATGTCCCGTCTCACTGTGTGTAACACTGACACTGTTAGTACTATCAATTGGCATAGCCAGTCAAAACATTGTCTATGTCATAAACTGTACGAGGTATGAAATGAAAGATCATAGAGTCATCTGAGAGTTGAAAATGTCTAAAGTCGATCTCATTAAAATCAGTTAGTTTTACTCCAATACAGTACCTCTATGTGAAGATACGACACCTCCACAGAAGTTTGAGCCAGGTAAACCCTGAGCAAACCCTTTACCGCCCAATCAAAATGAAGGATACATGGGTTCTTGAGCCAGTCAGATGTCAGCTTTTTTTAACAATTCCACTTCATTTCTTTACCATTTTGATTTGGAAATTTTGATTTTAGCAAAATAAAACCTGCACAGAAAACAAATCATCCTTCTATGGAACTACTGTTTGGCAGTAGAAAGCCATGGCTCTCAGAAAGTGTAAATAATGGTGTGACATTAATTATTCACTTTCAAGCTTCACATTTGTTTTTCAAGAAATGTGTTATGCATGTCTGATTGCTTCGCTTATTCGAGCAGAGAAATTAGAAGCCTTGTTGCTGAATTGCTCATTAGAAAGTTCACCTGATCTAAGATTGTCACGCAGAGGTATTGTGTCAGAGTAAGGTATCTATTTTAATGAGATTGTGTGAAGTATGGATTGATATTACGGTTTTATTTGTTCCAGGAGAAGTTGCCAGCACTACAGGAGTGTGATGTACGGTACACGGATGCCTGGTGACTATAGGAACCCACCACTTCCTGAACTGTTGCTAATAAAGTCAGCAATCTCCCTCAACCGACAACTGGAGGACTAGTCCTAGCCTTGTTTGTGCCTACTGAGGATTGGTAACAGAGACAAACATGACCGTCTGCTCACTGGCAGACGGCAGACTGCTATCCTTTATGACAGCAGTCCTACAGATGTGTCAAGATTTGGTGCATTGTAGTTCACTGTCATCTCAGTATGAGTATTGACGACAGCTTAATCAGGAGCTGGTCAGTGAAATCACTTCATCTTCATGCAAGCTGAATGGCGTTTAAAAAACCAATAGGAAACAGCTGTTTCTGCTTCTGCATTAACACTGGATGTGAGTGTATGATTAATGCTTCTGTCAATAACAGATTTGATTGGTACAGCAACAGAATCATTTAGAGAATTGATAATAAGCAAAAGAAGGATGGAAGCTAGTCAAAGCCAGCATCCTTTGATTCAGCATTGCAAGCAAAAACAATGAATGGCAAAGCCATGTGTGCTTGTTTGGACCTATTTCCGCACAAGAAGTATAATGGAGAAAGGATTTGATTGTGCACTTGCTGTGAAAACAGAGTGTATACTGTTCTATAGTTGTCTCCTAATTGTCTGTGCTCCTGTCCAAACTCTGTGTGCAGTATGTCATCTTCATGTGTTCATCTGGTCAGCTGATTGTGTACATAGAGTGTCATATATTTTGTAACAGCTGAAATTGTGGGATATTTTATGCGACATTTTGATGACCCAAGGGAGGACAAGGTCAGTGTAGTGACATCTGTTGGATGAATCTGAAATGAGATGGATTCCTTCCCTTAGTGTTCACAAATTCTGCCTGTAGAGGGCAGCACTGCAGTGTTGGTAGATCGTGGCAATGGAAATAAGCAGTGTAGATTTCAACATTGTAGAATAACATGTTCTAAAATGTTCAGGTCACTGTTGAAGATGATTGAACCGACTTTCCTTGATCCCCTACAGTACAGCATCTTTCCAGTAATGGTAGCTTATGATGTTTTACTGTCCTAGACCTTGGACGGGAAATCAACCCACAGATTCAGTATTGACTTTACTAACTATTTTGCTGTTTTTTTCTACTGATCTTGACTCTCATAATACGGTCATTCCAGAGTTTCTGGAAAAATGGACAATAATTCATTGTATAATTCCAGTAGCCTTATGGGACCTCCCAGTGTAACACTCCCACAGTCTAATTAATCAAATTGATAGCGTGTGAGGGTGGGCCCATGTATGTTTATATGAGAGACTTAGCATTACACCAGAAGTCGGTTTGCAGTCCAGTGATATTGTTCCAAAAGCGGAATGCTTTTCGATTGCTGACGAGACACAGCATAGTCAGCAGGGTTTGAAATAACCAAAATTTCAACACATAAGGTGACACACCCTCAAGATGATAAAACAGAAGGTATTATTACAAAGCCGTGAGGCAGCCATACTTATTACAGCTCTGTGTAGATATTTATGGCTTGTCATTGTTACTATGGTAACGCGAGTTGCTGTTACCATGGAAACATGAGTCGTTGCCATGGTTATGTGACTTCAGAACTGAGTGCCCAATGTGAGAAAGGAAGAAGGAAGGAGATGAGAAAAAGAGAAACTTTGTATTTTTTACCAGAAGATTCTTGAATTAGAAGATTGAGGAATAAATGAAATGTCTTATCTTTTTAAGTGGATGTGGTGTGTTTGCTATGTTATTGGATGATTGTGAAAACTTTGTGTGAATTGCATAAGTCTGGCTTTAATTTTGCCAATTTTGAATTTTCGCCATTTTATACTGTAGTATTTTGGTGCATCAGACTGTACCCATATCTGTGATTTATGTATTAATTATAATTATCAATTGTTTAAAATGTTCATATGATTCATACATGTGAGTTGTGATGTGTAGCATTTGTCAGGACATTCCAGAATTTGCAAGCCATGATGTACAGTGCACCATGTATTTTGTGCTGGACAGCCATGTTAGTTCCTACTGGTCAGAATGATCTAACCACAATGCACTGTGTTGTCATGGCAACTTGATACCTGCCATCTGCAGGAGCTGTCCAGGGAGAAATCTTGTATTAACCAACATTGCAGCATGGTGCAGAACAAGGTGTTTGTGGCACTGATTAGAATAAAACTGTAACAGGGTTGGAAATGGAAATAGTTGGTATTGAAATAGGGAATTTTAAAAATACCTCCTGACACTATGAAATACAGTGATTGATTTATTTAGGTTACATTTTGTTTAGGCTTCAGGATTGGCTACAGTTACTTTTCAGTATCAAAACAAGGTTATTTAAACCAAGGGACCGGTAATTTATTATGGGGGATGGGGGCTGTGGGCGTGTTCAGAGATTTTTGATAAGCTAATGATCTGAAAATATTAACCCTCACATAATTCTTGTCATACTTTTGGATGACCCTCACCATGTCCTTGCACATATTTTCCAGTACCCTCCCTGAAAAGACAACATGAAAAAGCACTTTATATCATATTGTAAAATTTTCTCATCACACCCCCCCTATAATAAATGACTGGTCCCTAACTCCTGATTTGATTTTGCAATAAATATTTAAGCTTTCATCAGGAAAGGAATGGGATTGATAGAAAGTGTAGCTACATGATGTCAATTGGTTCCTAGTTAAATAATATAGGAATACATAAACTGGACATTGTTTGCAGTAATTAAACATGTTGATACATCAACTGGAAATAAGATAGGTTGGTCTAGGTAGGTGTTTGTGTCTTCGCTTATCATGCTCAACACTTAATCTCCTTTTCCCACAAGGGTACAGCATTGTTAAGCCATTTCTAGATAATCCTGCCTTGATGTTGTTGAAATATTGTGAAAAGTTGCATCAACTTGGTGGTCTAGGTCTTGATATTGCTGCAATGCTGCTGACAGCTTTGCGAGAATATTCTTATCGGAAGACAGTATGATATGCAAGTCCAGCATTATTAGAGGGTTAGTTACAGAAGGCATGAAAACATCTGCAGACATTGTATTGTGCCTGATCAGTAGGAACTGGAAGAGATCGCATTTGTGGAAAGTGTGCAGCTTGCTTTGCAGTGTCATGTTGTCAGCCATTAGTCACTCGTGAATTTGATTCATTTGTTGTTTTTTTCTAAAGTCTTTGTTTCTGACAGGTGCTGTGTTTAGTGAAAGAGATACAGAGTTCTTGGCATGATCGAATGAAAGTTTTGCATTTGTCCCTTTCTTAACATAATATAACTTTTGATGGAGGGTTTCTGCCCCTAGCAACCAGGAAGCTTACTGATGCTGAACAGTTACTGAAAATGTCTTTTTCCATACATATATGCTCGGCCAAGAGGCAAGACTGTCACTGCAATTGCCACATCTATACTACTCAAAGAAGTTTAGGACCACCCAATTCTTTCACATTACTATAGTTAATATGAAAAAATGGAGTGGTCCTTAAATTTATAGTACATAGTTGGGGAAATCATCTTCAGCCAACTATGGATACAATTTAACATGCTTCCTAAAAAATCTGCTTGTTGTTTTTCTACATTTTCTTTTCACTAAGCAGTCTTTATAAACCACTACTCTTTGATAACAATTTGGTTAACTATTTTTATTTATTTGGGGTAGCCTAGTGGTTAGATCATTTGCTGCCCATGCCAAAGACCTGGGTTCAAGTCCCCCCAGTGTGTTATTGCTGGGTATTGCCCAGCAGCAGTAAACCAAACTAATCCCAACAGGCTATATCTTTCTTTATCTGGAGCTGTTGATGCACTCACCAAAATGATTACTTGTTCTTAGTGTGTTCTCCAGCCTGTACTGTTTTGTTCAATGATCATATACTTTTATGTTAACAGAGTACAGATTGTCTGTAGCAACAACATGATGAGGTATTAGTTTGTGTAATTTTTGTTTTGACAGTGCTGTTCAGATTCAGTATTTGATTACAGGGTTGCTTGTTAATTGTGGCTCATGTAAGAAACGTAGCAGGCAGTGCCATCAGGGTGTGACCCCAGGCAGATCAGTGTTCATGTACGACATTGGAAGTAATCTTATTCTCTTCCCACTCTTCCAAGATGTCAAAATCATATTCCAAGTTGAACAAGAGGGTACTGAACGCTATTTATCAGGAACTGACATTTCATTGCCAATTACCTTTGGCTATGAGACAATTTGTTCCTGAAATAAAAAAAATAAAATTTGTTGGCTCCATTTATACCCCCCAAAAGAACAAAAAATAACAGAAATCTTCATAAATGCTGATAAAAGTGCCTGGTCAGGTAAAAATGAATAGAAAAAAATAATAACGGAGGGTCTGTGAGGATAGAAAGAATGAAATGGTCTGTTCCTTGCAGATGTGCTGTGGTACAGAATCCACTCACTGCTTTTTGGGATGTTTGCATGTAAAAGTTTGTTCAGTGCACACTGACTTTGAAATCCTGATGATCAGGGATAATATGATGAATGTCATGTCCGTGGGCAAGAATATTCATACACAGAAAATATTAAAAGAAATGGACCCTACTTTGATGTTTAGGATAAAACATGAAAGCTGTTTCTGCTGTGTGCAATTTTACAGATCATGTATTTGATGGGGCGGTTGGGTAGCCTTGTGTTTAAAGCGTTTTCTCGTCACGCCGAAGACCCGGGTCCGATTCCCGACATGGGTACAATGTGTGAAGCCCATTTCTGGTGTCCCCAGCCGTGATATTGCTGGAATATTGCTTAAAGCGGCGTAAAACCATACCTACTCACTCACTCATGTATTTGACTGACCCGAAAATGTCAGCTGAAGTATTGGCCTATCTTCCATAAAAAGGCACAAAGTGATAAAATTTCCAAGGGTTACAAACCTTAGTGACTGACAAAAAACCCTGCTCACTGACTCTATCAATTATGGGGCCCTGTTCAGTACCGACCATCAAGGATTGCTTTCATTGTTTATACCAGACCAGTTTAATTTCAGTTTCAGGGATTATTTGGTCAATATGACAAGTGGAAGGAAAAAATTGAAATGTTTCTGTTCATTTGAGGTTAAATTGTTCGAGAGGCATTACTTAGAAGTTGACTGAAGACATAGTAGAGATAATTTATTGATAATGACTTCTTTATTTTCATTAAAAGCGACATTTCGGTATAGATCCTTATACTGTTGTCAGCCTTGCCTTCAAAGTAAATATAAAAAGTTGTTATCCATAAATTATCTCTACCGCGGTACTTTGATTTGAGGTAAATTTCCTTTTTTAAAAGATTTAGCAAAATTTCAGGTCATGACAGTGTTTAATAACTCATTTCATATCAAACACAGCATTATATTATCATAATTTTTATACTTTATTTGGTGGTCTGGTAAACAAGAAAATGAATTGATCTGGTTTAAATTGAGAGAATAGCAATTGCAGCATCACAAGATGTGATTGTTTTTGGACTCATTAGTGACAACAGGAACAGTTAACATTAAACAGAAAGTTCAACAGACAAGACAGCTGTTAGAGGAGTCGTACTCTTTGGTTTGTTAGATATTTGAAAGTTGGTTGGTTTGTAAATCTTTTTTATTTCGTTTGTTATATGTTTGACAAAACCGTATTACTGTTGTGTTGTTGCAGTCTGTAATTGTTCCATGATTGTTTTATTATGATTTTAGTTGATTTATTATGAAGTATATGAAAAAATAACCAGTTTTTAAGTCATTTGATTATTCATGTGAAAGAAGTGCTCAGAAAAGAACCAGTCAGATTTTTGTCAGTAGATAGCCATGCTGGCATCCTGAATTAATGGTTATTGTTTTTAGTCATGGAGGGACTAATTTGTATGACACCCTTTTATAAATTTAAGGCCTGTTGACTGAATTCTGATCAATATCAATGCAAAAACACTGACAGTTATAGCATATTCACTGTTACACTTTACCCTTTCTACAATGTCTTAGTCTTAGCCTTTGTTACCATGGTTACCAGTATCCTCAGCTGTGCAGCTTTAAGTGTGAAACTCTGTGATTTTAGCTGATTAATAGTGCTACTAAGTTATGTGCCATGAAAGAGTGTATAAGCCTCAGTGCTGTGTGAGTTGATGTGGTCGTCCATGATGCCAGTAGTACCAAGTGTGAGTGGAGTTACGTAGAATAGCAACCTCCAGGTAGGATTTGATTGTTGTTTGACACTGCAGTCAACAGTATTCCAACTCTGTGATGGCATCCTGAAAATAATCATGTCTGGGCCATACAAATCTATTAACAATGATCCTCGCCATTGGGGTACAAGATCTAACCAAGTCACCGAGCCTGACAACCGTTTAGTCGCCTTTTACATGCTTATGTCACTGGGATCTATTCGAACCTTGAATCCGTGTGGGGATTAAAATATGATCCAGTAATGCATAAACTGGCTGAATTTATGTTGTCGTTCCTGGATATTATGGATTGTGCTAATACTATCAACAATTGCTTATTGAATGAAGGAAAGCAATATTATTCTTCGTATCTAATTTCAACCTCATAATGACAATATCGTAATTTCCTTCAAAAGTAAACTCTATCAATCTATGCTTCTTGTAAGAGACGATTGGATGGTCAGACTTGGTTACTTGGTAGATTGCATGTCATTGTATCCTAAATGCGTGGATTGATGTACATGTGTCAATCACTGGTTTGTCAGGTCCAGATTTGATTGTTTACAGACTGCCATAATATAGCTGGAATATTGTTCGTACAGTGTTAAACTACAAACAAACAAAAGTGAATGTATCCATGTTCATTCAGAAAATTGTGTATTTCATTATAAAAAAAAGGAATGTGTCAAACACGGAAAATATGTAAAATCACATTGATATTTTTCGTTTGATGATGGAAGTGTGAACCAATAAATTAAGACAAGAATGGCCAGGTTTAGGTTAAGTGTCTATTTCTGGACCTTGAAGTGAAAAACTATTCCAGATGTAAGTCTATTGAATAACTGATTATCATTGTAATAGTCTCTGGCATAATGGAGAGTAACATGACTATTTTTGAAAGGTACTTGATGTTGTTGTAGACCTGGCATTTACTGGTTGAAGGATGTCGGGGGGCCGTGTTGTCAAATGTGCATTTATTTGTTTTCTGTATTTTTGGTGTATTGCATAAATTCCCCATTGATGAAGCTGGCCTTCAATATCCTGTATTGTGAGATCTGATTTAGTGGGTCCAGTAGCACCATTCCTGCATGGTGGTGCTCGTGGACTCACTTCCTCTGAGGGGGCATCTCAAAACTTCTCTAGCTCATGTATGTTATGTACAAATATGAATAGTTTGGTTTGTACATGTTTGTATTCATATTAGACTGGTCTTTATTTACCTCATTACAGTGTATGCTGAGAAATATCTGAATGCTCTGGTATTTTGTTCTGACACTGAACAGTCTTTATGTATTATTTTATCAGCATAGTCAGTTGTCTTTTAATGTTCAAGAATGTTTATCTTGAAAATCAAATTTCTGCTTGGTCCTTGTAGACAATTCAAGATTTGGTAGTATGAATACAACTACGGACCAAATTGTTTTTGCTGATGATTATCATAATGAGAACTGTCTTCAACATTGGCTTCTATCATTGATCCATTGTATAAATGCTCTACTTGTGAAACAAGTGTGACCTTTCATCCACAGCTACTCCGTATGACACTACAGTGTCCAAGCATATTAATCACATGACATAAGTTACCAGTGCAGGACAGGATTTCATTTTATGACATTGTGTGCACACATTTATGACATTTTTTATCACTTCAGTTTGAGTACCAATCAAAACCATTATTGTTCTGATTTAGCGTATATTGAGGAAATCAACCATCTCTTTGAGCATTGAACTGTTTTAGCACTAGAAGTTCTGACTGTTTCTACTTACCTAGACATACTTGGTACAGGCGGCCTGTGGTCTGTGGCGGTTCAATTTGCTGTGTATTCACTCCCCTTCGGTGCCAGGATCCCCTGGTCTTGGTTCAAATCTCACTTTTGCCCAAATTATTATTACAAAACAGTTTAAACAATACCTTTTTGACAATCTCCAACATTAAGCTGACGTCCTATGATTGACTTTAATATGGTTAAAAGTATTCTTTAACTTGTTACATCTGGTTGATAAAACATGAATGATTTTACTGTCAGTGTCTGACTGCTATATCATATCATTGGTCAGTGTTTCTGGGCCAAATCTTGCAAGTTCAATTGAATTGGGATATGACAGAACTTGTTCCCTGAAGCTTCATATGAAGTTACTGTCAAATAGATGGTTTAGATCTTACATATTTCTTTGCTTGATTTACGAATTTACTGACCTTAAAAATAGAAAATTCAAAAAATAAAAATAAATCAAATCAGAAAGACGAGAAAAAAAAGTTCATTACTCTGACAGTCAAGATCACTTTGACAATGCAAATGACATTGTAATGCTGCTGGAGTATTTTACATCTATAATTTATGAATAACCCCAAAGTAGGCCAAGATTTATAAAAAAGAATTTAACTCCTGTCCAATGCATTATATTTCCCCACTGACCAAAGTTTTCACTATAAAAAGTGTGTAAATCAATAACAGAAAAGTCTGGCCTTTGAACAGATAATTGCTAGCTAGGTCTGATGATTAAAACAATCTGTACATTGTTAATTGGCTTCATGAGTGTGGGCATGGCACGTCAACACCACATGGCATGTATGTAATTGTACGTAGAAATTGCTGGAGGATTAGCAGTAGCCCCTGAAATATCCCAGTGGTATCAGCAAAGGATATGGGTGACATTGAGGTGAGGACCAGTAGGTAACACCTCATAAATCCAGACCCTGTTAGTCCAAACACCTTGCCTTCTGTGTGATCTTTTGAGAACATTGATATATACTACTCAAAATAAGTTAAAGGACACCCACAATTGGAAGGCTGTATGTTGCAATAACCACCAGCCATGACAGATTAACTACAGCCATATGAAAAAATCGGGCATTCTTTAACTTCTTTCGAGAAGTATATTTCGAAGTTACTAGTAATAATAAATCTGGACAACTGTTTACTTTCTTACCAACATTTGTCAGGCACAAATTTCAGGTTATAGTCTCATGCATATTGGTAGGCTCTTTCATATGCCAGGGCCAGTTGCAAGTGAAGAGTTGAAACGTTTATACTTTTATTTGGAACAAGGTGCTTTGTCAAACATTGGTTATATGAGGTAGTTTTCAATACATAAGCTCGAAATGCTTACATATCCCAGAACCGTGTACCCGGTCCCATTCCACAATGCTATCTTTGCGCTACAACTGTCAAGCTCACATCCTTTAACATTGACTTATGACGCCTGTAGCACAAAGATCACTTTGTCGAACAGAGTCCTGCACCAAGGGTTCAAGATTTCATTTAATTGTTGACATCTCTACTTATCGTATGTTTCCCCCCAGTATGTCCCTGCCTTTTATATGTATCTTCTCCAGTTTGTTTGCTTTTGTGATGGAGTTGTCTGCCCTTTGCGTTGTTGCCTGTGGTCGCTGAGCGCGTTAGTGCTCATCTTTTATATGCAGATCAAGCATCTGTCAAATGTCGGAATAAAACCATAAAATAAAGTCTGCCTTTGTTATTATGAGAGTTGTTGTGCATACACTGTATCAAGATTGAAGCAGTGGTCCCATCAAGATTCATAGAACGCTGCATACAAGTTTCTTCACTTGTGAATAGCTGAAATTGTATTATACACTCATACTCTCTCCAGTCAGCAGCATTCTAGGTTTCTCACAGCAACCTGCAAATTATAAATCTTTATAACCCAAATCTGATCCCACTAAAACTGAAAGCACGAGCAATATCCAGAACGAGTCACAAAATCCTGAGCACCTGTACCTCAAGACAACCATGACCAACCTGGATCCTAGTCTTCTCCAGATAAGATAAGATTTGTTTGTTGTTTAACGCCGCACTCAGCAATATTCACACAAGTGGAATCGATGACATGCATCAACCAAGTCAGTGAGCCTGACCACCCAATCCCCTAAGTTGCCTCTTACAACAAGCATAGTCGCCTCTTACGGCAAACATGGGTTGCAGAAGACCTATTCTAACCCGGATCTTCATGAGTCGGATAAGAATTCTGTGAACAATTACAGAGACACCATTGTTACGACCATCCGAAGTATAGCATTAGATGACTTGATGCATGTAATATCCCAATTGCTAAGATCATTGCTCATGATGTCAATCAATGGATTGTATGGTCTGAACTCAATTATTCACAGACTGCAGTCATATAGCTGGAATATTGCCGAGTTCTGCATTACATAACAAACAAAACACACAGAATGAGATCTGAACCTGTACAACAACATTGTTGTTTATCTCATGCCTAAAAACTTTGAACAACTTAATTTGATTTTTGTGGCCATTTTGCCAATTCTTACAAAAACTTGAAAATGTGTCCGAGTTATCCTGCTTACATGATAAAGGACAAAAGACAGAGTATAATTCTTTATTTACAAATGTCAAACCTGTGACATGATATATACATTGTAATTTACAATTTCAACATGATAAAACATGCTGGAGCAAACTAACAGTAATGACAAGCCCCCATTCCAAATACTAAACAAAATGCAACGGCGCTACAGTACAAGACTTAATGCTAATACAATTATAAAAAATAATATTTGTTGGTGAGGGTAGTATTTTTTGAGAAACTACCCCTACATGTATGACTGTCATATGAGATCCATACTTATGTGAATTTCCCTTCAATTTTATCTGCAGCTATCAGAATGCTAATACTACTCCCACACAAACAGGAATGTGTAAACATATCTACGTGATAAAATACAAACACAGCTATTGTCATGTGTTCAGAAAACTTTGGTCAACATAAGGAAATACTGTAGTCAGTGAAGAGTTACTTCCCTTGTAGATTTGGCATTCAGTGACTTCAGTGAAAGACGGCACCGAGTCTCATTACATCATCATCCAATCTCATTAAAATCAGATCTTAGTTCTCACTACCACTGAACAAAGATCTGAGGACATCCCATTACGGGTCACGTCAGACCGACCTTGCGCAAACTTTGAGCGACCAATGGAATGACCAATCAGAAGGCAGCTTTCTCATGCTTTACGGCACTAATTTCAAATTGGCGACTACGCTTCGAAACATATTTGGACAAATTCTCGATTACAAATTTGGAACCTGAACAAAGACCATTCTGCAATGGCTAATAGATGGTCTACAGTGTATGGATTCAGTCGTTAAACCTGTAACTACCGTTCGGAGTTAAAGTTTTTGAGGTTGTATGATTAGAAATCACATTCCAACTGTCACTTTCATGATCTGGTAAGCGGCACTCTGACTGGTCGGATGAAAGGTCGTTTTGACGTGACCCCTAATGGGATGTCCTCAGATCTTTGTTTAGCCGTAGCGAGAACTGAGGTCTGATTTTAATGAGATTGATCATCATCATTATCACAGCTGATGTAGGTGGTTTTCAATCTCCAAACATTTGTCACTATTATGTAGAAAAAAACTCAAGAAAACAAACAAAAATATAAGTAACAACATTCTGGGTTGGTATCTTTCTTCACCAGTATAAATTATGAATATATCACGTTTATTTGTTGTAATAGTTCTGCCCTCTATGTATATTTTGAGTGGAAGCAAATAAATGCTGTTATGCATGATATGATTAAATGGACATTTCTTTTCTTGACTATCTACAAACTATAATATTACAGAACAAAACCATAGACCCTGGCAGAACCAAAATCCATTAATTACAAACAAAACTTTGGCCACTAAAGAAGTTACGACTTGAACAAAGATTGAGCTAATGTAATAAATCTTGCTTGATTATGGTGGGACTGCAGACTGATCAGTTTCTTTCCATAAAAAAAGGTTAAACATTTTCAATCATAACCAGAGCACAAAAATATAGTGTTTCCTGCTCATATTGTCAGAGATAAACAGCTTATTTGTTTTGTCAAACTGGGATATAACTTAGTCTGCGACCAACAATAATTTTGCTCAACTCACAAATGTAAGTTATCTTTAAATTTAAACATCCAAGAAATATTTTCAAACTGTTCGTAACCATGGTAACTGTTGAAAAGGCTCCATGTCAAATGATCATCTAATCCTCACTTGTCATATAATACTTGCAGCCATATCACTGAAATGTATGACATGTACAAACTTCTAGATTTGCAGCTTGTGAAGGAAAATGATTGACTTGAAAAACAAGAATCAAGACAGGTTGGGTATTGTTTTCACATAATGACCTTGCCAAGAGTAATCAATTGTTTCATTATACCGAAATTTATTCATATTTAATCATTCTTGTCCCTCTTATCTAGCATTTGATCGAGATCATCAAACTGTGTTTTGCCACTCGCAGACATCGTACAGTTTTCTAGCAGATGAAGAAATATTGATCATGTGACAAGTCAAAATTGATCATGTGACAAGTTAAATATTCGAGGGCAGTGTCAATCACATGATTTGACAAAATGTCTCGTTTCGTAACCAAGGTAACGGGATATGGAGTAATTAATGAAATTCAAAGATTCTGAATAGAGTGAGTGAGTGAATTGGGTTTAACGCCGCTTTTAACAGTATTCCAGTTATATCGCGGCGTGTCAGCATAATGTGGGAGGAAGGCCCGAAGTGATGCAGGTCCCTGACGTTTACCACTTCGTTGAAACCACGAGCACGGGTATGGTGCTGACAAACCTAGAAACATAATCGGGGTGAACCGGGATTCGAACCCACAATCATAGGTTTCTGGCATGCCCAACGGTTGCGACTCTGCACATTGAATTGCGGCGCCTTAGACGACTGGGCCACCCGTGCCCCCGATTCTGAATAGGTCTGATAGTTAGCAATATTGATAGCTTAAGAGTGGAATGCCCCTCTCCATTACACAGAAAGTCTGACAGACAGACAGACAGACAGACAGATATATATATATAAAGACGTGTTAACAGAGAAAAATGGATGCAATACATGATACTGGAGTAAAATATAAGTACCATATTTGACATCTACTGAAAACAGACAAGATAGAAGTCAGCCACAAGACAACTGCTTCTTTTTTGGAAATATCACACAAACATGTAAATGAACACAAATAGATTCTGAAACAAGATGGAAGCATATGTGACTTGCATACACAGTTCAACATACACTTACGGTTGCCATTTTGTCGTCGCTATTACTTATGAATTGTATATCTAACAAGTGGAATAATCATATGTAATAAGCAGTCTGAAAGTTCTTATATCAAGTAATAACATTATTTTGCTATCAGTTTTAGTTTGGCTGGTATTGACATCCCTGGTGTAACAAAGGAACATCCAAATTAGTTTCCAGAACACAATGAATATGTTGAATAAAACCAGTCTGATATGATACATGTAGGAAGTATGTGTGTGTGTTTGTTGTTTAACACCGCAGTCAGCCGTATTCCAGCTATATAACGGCAGCCTGTAAATAATCAAGCCTGGACCAGAAAACCAGTGATTGACATTGTGAGCAACATTCCATGCTGCCGGGGTACGATGACATGCTGTCCACCAAGTCCACGAGACTGAGCACCCGATTCATTAAGATCTGGCATAGATCGCTTGGGACCAGTTCTCCAGACTTTCCCTGGCATGTAGCAAGTAGTGCTAAAACTGTATAAGATTCCTAATCCCTCAGTGAGGGTACTGACAGAGGCCACCTCTAAATAGATCAATATGTTCCTAATATACGAGTTGTTGCCTCCAAATACTTTTAAAAACCAAATTAATTCTAATTTTTAACAGAGGATTAGTAATTTAAAGTTCTCAGCAAGAATATGTTACAGAAAGCTGCCTTCTAAAACAGAACATTCATGTACCAGCGTACCATGTTGTAAATGCATCAACATCCATTCGACAAGAATAGAAAGTCTTTGGTATGTATTTAGAAGTTGCAAGAACATGAAGACGTGACATTTTTATATAACCTCCTTGTTTTATAACAACATTTCAGGGATAATCGTTGCCTGATGAAGTGGCAAGAAGTAGCCAGAAATGTAGTTGCAAACAAGTGTCATGTTTTGTTTGAAAGGCATTACTTAGAAGTTGACAGATGACAAAGTAGACACAATTTATGGATAACAACTTCTTTAATACTCAGTGTTCCCGCTGGCTTTTGAAACTGCCAGTCCTTGTGGACTGGCAACTCTAAAAATTACCAGTCCCCACCATTTTATTTCAACAAATAAAAAAACGTATGAAAATTATTTGGCTTTAATTCGTTCAACATCCTGTTCAGTGCAAAGATGCCATCTCTGATGTAACTTAGTTAGATCTATAAGTCATTCACTCAAGCTTCAGTCACAATTTTCTCTCTTTTTTTAAAAAATATTTCGATGCGAACTCGCTAACATGAATATTTAACCTAGAAATAGACAAGGGGAAACCCTGATGGTAACAGACAAGCTGCTTTTATGAATATTACAGATGATTTGTTCAACAACAAGGATTTATTAGGTACTTTATTTATTGGTCCACAGGGACTGGCAGTCAAATGAAATACCGGTCCAAGCCTAATTTTACCGGTACAAAAACTGGTAATTACCGGTAAACGGGAACACTGATAATGTAAAGGCAACGTTTCGGTATAGACCCTAATACCGTTGTCAAGCAAGACCAAAATGTTGCCTTTACAATTTAAAAGAAGTTTTTGTCCATAAATTGTGTCTACTCTGTCAAGTGTCCTATTGACATGTATGGAAGTCTAAGAAAGATCTTTTAAAGTCCCACATCAATAAAATACCTGAGCATCAAAAATCTAATTAAAATGAAACAATAATACTTAATTTTTATAATTATTGCTGGAGAACCAGTTGTTTCTATCTTGGGCTTGGCATCTGAGTATACCTAAATGGAATGCCTGTTTCACCTGAGGACTGGTCAAAGTGTGCTCAGTAAGGAAAGAGAGATCTTACGAAAACAGGTAAAGATATGTCATTGTGTCTCACTATGAGCAAATATTCATGTACTAAGATTATGACAAAGAAATATGATACTGATACGTTAAGTATTGACGATACAAAGAAGAGGCATCTTCTATCTGAACATTCAGTCACTTCAGCACATCCTGGAGTTGGTTTGACCACATGAATCATGGATTTATCTGGGATTGCCAACAAAAGAAAAATTGGTCCAGATAATCATTATTTTCAAAATTTGGATTTTTAGCTCACCTGACATGTAAAGTAAGCTGATGTCAAGTGCTGTTTGTCCAGCGTCTGCAATGCGTCGTCTGTCAAACATCCTCACTGCACAAACGAGGATGAAGCTTCACATACTTGTTTCCATCAATGATGACACTCCAATTTGTTTAAGAAAATCAAATCTGATTTTCAATATGGCTGCCATGACAGCCATATCAAACAAGAATTTTATGGCAACTGCCTAGGAATTACTTTTTATAGTGAGTGAGTGAGTTTATGCTTTACATCACATCGGCAATATTTCAGCCATATCGTGACGATACTTTTTACAAAATGTAATGAAACTTAGTACATGTGTATTTAGTAGTGGGGTTCAACATATATGTTTTAATTTTGACCTTTTTTTTAACTGGAACATGCAACTATTTCCATGCAATCAGCATCCTGCTCTTATAGCACTGTATAAAGAAGGAGAATTGAATAATGGTTACATTGTCAATTAGAACTGTGTCCACATTGTCTTTGTATTGTCTATCTGAGAGAGTTAAACACTCTGTACATGTGAGGATTGATGTTCTCCCACCATCATGAAGCACAACACAAATGGACTTCAAACAATGCACCAATTAACTGGGTTCTCGGTGGGATATGAAGGAACATTAACAACTAGATTACCACCCACATCCTTACACTTTCACCTTGAAGACCATGGAGTAAGTGATATTTATTATTAGTCGTATTACTTTTCTCCTGTTACTCTAAGCGCCTGCTGTGCAAAACCAACCTCATATCACCTGTGGCCCACTTCATATATACCATGTGTATATATGTCACAAACAGTTCAGTAAGCATCAAACACAGACATCTCAAAAGCATGCACACATATAATCCACCATGTTGAAGTATTTCTTGACTACAGAACACTGTGACCTGGATATAGCACCTGTTGTTGAGCTGGCAGTCTATAGTACAGACTTGTATTTACATGCAAACATCAGCCACGTCGCACATGCAGCCTCGGGGTAGGGGAAGACTCGGACTCGCAGCCCTAGGCGGACCTGGTCGCCGCGGCAGTTGATGATCTCCTCACATCGTGATGCTCTGTAACCATAGACACGGCAAGGTACATCATCACCAAATTCAGTGATTCGTCAAAAACATTTCACCATGCCTCCCTTGTTAATCGGAAGTGCTAACATAAGCATGATCATTTGTTTATGGAAGAAAATTCGAAATGGCTGAAGCTGACTTCAATTGTTCAGGGTATTTCATTATTTGTTTGTTTGTTGTTTAACTCCGCACTCCAGCTATATGACGGTGGTCTGTAAATAACCAAGTCTAGACCAAACAATCCAGTGATTGACATGACCATCGATCCACGCAATTAGTGTGAGTGAGTTGGGTTTAACGGAGTATTCCAGTATTCCAGTTATATCACGGCGTGTCAGCTTAATGTGGGAGGAAAGCCCAAAGTGATGCAGGTCTCAGACCCCTACCACTTCAATGAAACCCACAAGCACGGGTATGGTGCTGACAAACCTAGAAACAAAATCAGGGCGAACCGGGAATCGAACCAACGATCATAGGTTTCTGGTGTGTCCAAGGGACGCAACTCTGCACAGCTAATCGCGGCGCTTTAGTCGACTTGGCCACCCGTTACGACCCATGCAGTTAGGATACGATGACATGCATCAACCAAGTCAGCGAGCCTCACCACATGATCTCGTTAGTTGCCTCTTACGATAGGCATAGTTGCCTTTTACGGCAAGCATGTGTTGCTGAAGACCTATTCTATCCCATGGGTTCCCCAACAAGTAGCGCTGCAACGAATACACTATGAGGCGAATACGATTCGTATCATGAATATAGGGTAACGAATACAATAGGAGGTCAGCAGTTGATGTATTATTTATGATAGACAGTGAAACAATAACAAAATAAATTATGTGAGATAGTTTGGTAATAATTAATTTATTATACAATTATATACTTCACTTATCCAGGTACTAGTATCTGCTAAAATGCGACAATGACCAGTGACTACAATACTGTCAAATTAAATATAAAAGAGTGTTGTCTTTGAAGAAATCTATGCATATATTAATATGTTCTAATGGATATTTTAAGGGTCAGGGTATGTAAATGTACATGACTCCATATTCATGAATATTCGATTCTAGTGACCACAAATAACGAATTCAATTCATGAATGGATACGGTTCGATTCACCGAATATAGGAGTGAACAGCCCTACCTACAAGTACTTAGAATTAAAGAAGGCAGACAAAATGTGGTAATATTGAGTGTTGTTGAGTGTCATATATATCATACATATTCTACAATATATTCACACAATGTCCATGATGTCTGCACTGCACGTTTTTCATTAACATCAGTTCCCATTTACTCAGTTCTTACAACATATTAGCCCAGCTGGATACTATTCTGCACAGTGTCTGAAATAACAGCCTGCCTGCTGCCTGTGGCTGGTAACTTTTCTGTCAGGCTGCATGAAATTTTTCTCCACCTGCCCGAATGTCTGGCAGATAATTTTAAAACTACTTCCGTCTTCAGCTTTATTATAACTCCTTGTAAACTATCAAGTAATTGTTTGCATTATTTCAACTGAATCAAGACATGACTTGTCTCTTAGTTTTGTGATTTTTCAATATTTATAAAGCCTGAATGTGGGCAGGTAACTTTGAAGATGTGCAGGCAACACTTATAGATCACCTGCCTGGCTGTCTTGTTGGGAAGTATTTCGCACACTGATTCTGTACCTGAATACCCATGATTTGGGTGGGGGCTGTGTTTACTTACTTGAGGCATGTAGCGAACACCTTGCGGGCATTGCGGTGTGTGAACTGTATAGGGTAGCCCTTGAAGGTATGGCCGTCTGGCACACAGTGCCTCACAGCATCCTGGAAGTCTTCGTTGCCTGCGGTCAGTCCTGCACAACACACACAGCTCACACATTGGATTTGTCAGTGGTACAAATGAACCTGTGTCAGTCAGTATGGTTTTACGCTGCTTTTAGCAATATTCCAGCAATATCACGGCAGGGGACACCAGAAATGGGCTTCACACATTGTACCCATGTGGGGAATCGAACCCAGGTCTTCGGCGTGATGAGCAAACGCTGAAACCACTAGGCTACCCGACCACCCCACAAATGAACCTGAACAGCCTACTGGGATGAATGGTTAATGTGAGACTGATTGTTGTAAGCATTGCTCCAGCTATGTGGATTGGGACATCAGACAAGCGGGCTAGACCCGTGTCCTCTCACTATTCATAGTACAATAATACACCAAAACTGATGGCACTTCAGCATGTTCACTGTCTGGTATTCTGATATTTTATTTAAACTTGAAATGTTTCATAAATGTTTTTTAAACAAAATGCTAAGATCTTTATTGTTATTGTGATGATTTGTGGTACTGGTGAGTTCAGTTTTCACACTGCTTTAAGCAACACCAATAACAATATAAAGCTTGTTCATTTGGTGAATGCTACATTATTCAATGTTCCCACTACATGATGTTGGTCTGTAAATAACCAAGTCTGGATCTGATAATCCAGTGATTGATATAAGCAACGATCTACATTCTCGGGGTACGAAGGAAACACTATCAACTAAGTCTTAGGTTGATGAGTGAGTGAGTATGGTCTTACGCTGCTTTTAGCAATATTCCAGCAATATCACAGTGGGGACACCAGAAATGGGCTTCACATATTGTACCCATGAGGGGAATCGAACCCGGGTCTTCGGCGTGATGAGCAAACACTTAAACCACTAGGCTACCCCACCATAGGTGTGATGAATGAATTCCTGGTTACAACTAGGCTATCCAACCTCCCCTTGGTACATGTTGCATCGGTCAAGTACCTGTGACTCTTTCCAACTCGTAAGCTGCCAGGGCCGGTGTCAGCAGGTAGCTCAACTGGTCATCCCAGGATGTGGTCAGACCCTGGTCCTGGAACCAACATCATCATCACATAAACCTTCGTCTCTCATCATGCTCATAGGAATACAGAAAAAAGATGAAGTACATCAGGATCTTCTGCACAAATTAATAAAGCAAACGCATAAAAATATAACCCAGGGCCCCGTTCCTCAAAGCGATCTTTGCGCTAAGGTGATCGTAAGTCCCATACTTTAACATAGGCTTACGATCATTGTAGAGCTAAGATTGCTTTTAGTAACGAGGCCCAGGTCTCTATTGCTTTACAATGTGTGTTTGTTGTTTAACGCCACACTCTGCAATATTTGAACTACATGTATATGACAGCGGCTTGTAAATAAGTATGGACCAGACAATCCAGGGATTGATATTGCGAACAATGATCCATGCCATCGGGGACACGCCATCACCCAAGTCAACAAGCCTCTCCACCCGATTCAATAAGTCACCTCTTACGACCAATTCCACAGGCGTGTTTCTTTACTAGCTTTGACTGACTTCATACAATATAAGACAAGATATCACATATTTCTCAAAAGAAGTTAAGGACCATCTGATTCTTTCATATTACTACAGTTAATCTGTTAGCTTTATGCAATGTGGCTTCTTGACCGCGTATAAGCCGAATTTTGAGGACCAGAAAAAAGATTCTGTAGAAAGGGGTCGGCTTATCCACGGGATACACTTTCATGATAGTATTTTTCAGATCGTGATCTGTCAGAAACATCGCCTGAATGACGGTCCGATAGATTACAACTTCCCGAAAGTTTGGAAGTTGCCACAACTAGAGCCATTATTGTTATAAATTATCAATAAAGTTATTATTATACACCAATGTTGTCATTATTAAAAAAATGTTATGCATGTTACTACTTCCGATAATAAGTTTTCAATTGAATGTTCAAAGTTTATCGTTCTTCGTCAACTCCACAATCTTTACATGTAACAATATACGTAATTCACAGCTATAATATATAATCCCCAGATAAAATCGCCAATAGCTATTACGTACGTTTTGCAAAGTTCATAAATTGATAGTGAACAAGTGTCTACCTTTATTGAAAGGGGCAAATAAACAACTGTATTGGCGAGTTATTCCGTTCGCCATTTGCAAAAACATGTGATCAGCTGTTTCCTGTGACGTCACAAACGGTGACCACTGTGATTGCTTCCTGTTGTTTAAAGCAACACGGTACACAAGGAAATCAGCATTGATAATAACGGGCCGATTGCTATTGTCATGTTGTTTACACAAACATTTTCAAGTTGTGGGTGCTTAGCGATCGTGTTGGGAGTAGGGGCTTAATTCCTTTGTTTTCGAGAGATTAGTTTAATAAACTGGAAAAGCCTGTGAGTAAGTGATGGTCATTCAATGTGTTCATAGTATGATAGTTTATTTAATTCAATTGGATTAACATACAATAGTGGTGTAAAGGGGGTTATAAAAGTTGGTATATTTTTACTGACTGACATTTTCATCATGAGTTTTAAACGAAAACGCCATGCTTACGATGCTGAATTCAAACTGCGAGTTTTCGCTCCAGCTGATATATTTTCTCACGGGTTGAGAATTCTATATACACCGATTCACAAAATGGCGCTTGGTTGTTGATGGCAACTATAACGATCATTATGAGATTAAAAAAACCCACGAGAAACAGCTTCCCACATTATGAAAGTGGATGACTGGTTTGTTAAATCTTTACTAGAAATAATAATGACTTTTTCAATATAATTACAACGTTTTTCATCTTATATTTTTGAATATCTGCGAGTACCTGCACATGTCACGCAGTCCGACTTCGCAGTGTTTTTTGTCTTTCAATTCCTGATTCGGCTTATCTGCGGGTCATATCATTTTCTTTCGTATTTCAATGGTCAAATTAACACCTCGGCTTATCTACGGGGTCGGCTTATCCGCGGTCATATACGGTACCTTAACACACAGGATAATTTGCGAACAATTTGGGAGAAATGTATTTTTTGACACTATTGCAATAGAAAAGACGAGTAAACTTACGATTGAACCAACAATCGAGGAGAAATAACTGGGTTGATCACTAGCTGTTCTGCTCTTGAGGTTTCTGAGAAGTCTAACATGCACAGTGTGCACAGTGACACACTGACACCAATCACACTTAGCAAGGGGAAACAACTCTGTATAATCCTCCTCACCCTCCTGTGTTCCATCACCAGGACACGTAGCTGCTGCTCCAAGTCATTGCTGAGGATGCTGGGGTCTAGGGTGGAGGCACATAGAGGGGGCGGGGTCGGCCAGGTGGGACACGCCCCTGGCCCACATACAGACATGACAGCATCACCTGCCATTGACTTCCACCGGGACTCATCTGTCAGGTCGAAGCGACAAGTCTCTACATTGTCTGTCACCTGAAATACAGGAAAAAATTGACTGTGTTCCTTGGAGCAGGATTTGAGTTTTCATGGCATGGCATTGTATCATGGGAAGAAAAGGCTTAGGTAATGGATGTCATTTTGTCGAGATGGAGGAGCATAGGCCTCACTGACAGTTTCATTAAATCAGATCTAAGTAACGACCTTTCGGGAACTCTGACCAACCACTGAGATGACTAACAAGAAGTCGACATCAGCCAATTAAAAAGCAGCTTTCTCGAGCTTTACGGCACTCGTTTTGAACCTGGCAACTTCCATTTGAGACTATGCTTGAAAAATATGTTGACACATTTCTCAATTAAAACTGAACAAACGAACATTCCAGAATGTCTAATAGATGGTTGAGATTGTATGGCAGTGCTTTCCACTGTGCAACACCTCCTCCATTCAAATGTTTCTCCCAACGGGAAGGAAGAGATGGACAATGATTTTGACAGAATCAGTTGTACGGGCCGTAACTGTCGTTCAGAATACCCTGTGTTAATATTTTCGAGGTTGCATGATTATAAAAAAAATTCTGACTATCACTCTCGTGATCTAGTAAGCGACGCTTTGATTGGTCGTACGAAAGGTCATTCTGACGTGACCCATTATGGAATGTTCACAGATCTTTGTTTAGCGATAGCGGGAACTAAGGTCTGATTTTAATGAGATTGCCTCAATGACAACCATAGATCATGATACATCTGCGGTATATCTGGGATATATTTGGGTACGAACCTGCTCGCGCTCATGTATCACCGATACAAGTTGATGATACATTTTGTTTTTTGGTTGTTTGTTGTTTAACGCTGCACTAAGCAATAGTCCAGCTATATGAAAACAATCCAGTGATTAACATCATGAGCATCGATCCACGCAACTGGGATACGATGACATGCATCAACCAAGTAAGCGAGACTGACCACCCGATCCCGTTAGTCGCCTCTTACAACAAGCATAGTCACAGTAAATACAGTACATGTATTCAGTCAGTACGCAAAACCTTTTGAGTCTACTAGCCGGAACCTGTCTCTTGACATCATTTTCAGACCGTAGGTTTAATGTATGGACTTTTATTAGCAAAGCTTACAAGACCAAAAGAAATTTCACACTGCTTGGGCTATGGACAAGTGGCTTAAATCACAGACAGTGTATTACTGGTACAAGTTAATGATACAGACATGATCATAAATCACTGATATGAACTGCTGGTACAGAAAAAGACGTAATCAAAAATATTTTGATAATAACAATAATAAATGAAACATAAATGACACAATAATGAAACTATGTACATGCTGAAAAAGTCCTTTCAGGGTGCCGTTGTACAAAACAATCTTGGTTCTACGACTGTCGTAAGTCTATGCTGAGGTATGGAGTTATGATCACCTTAGAGTTAAGATTGCTTTGTACAACGGCACCCAGGTTTCATTACCAGTAATAAATTCAGGTCAAATTTCACAATTTTCATTACTGACAAAACCTTACCTGAGAATTGGCAAAGAAGCTCTGGTGGTTGAAGACACAGCCTATAGTCTTGTAGGGGTATGCTGGGCGGGACTGTTTGGACATGGGAGGACCGTCGGGGTCCACTGCTTCGTGTATATACCTGAACACACCACAGTAATAACAGCGGACATGAGGACAGTTCCTGTTTTACGTTGTTTGTTTGTTTGTTGTTTAACGCCGCACTCAGCAATATTCCAGCTATATGATGGCAGTCTGTAAATAATCGAGCCTGGACCAGACAATCCAGCGATTGACATCATGATCATCGATCCATGCAATTGGGATCGATGACATGTTTCATCCAAGTCAGCGAGTCTGACCACCTGATCCCATTAGTCGCCTCTTACTCCTGTTGTTTGTACAATAGATATAAGCTGACACTAACATTGTACTGAGAATCTCTATGTTGTAGCAAGGGCAATGCCTTTCAACAAGTCTTCTTAAAACGTGATGCAAATTATCAGATTTGTGTGTTTTGTTGTTTAATGCCGCACTCGAGTCTGGACCAGACAATCCAGTGATTGACATCATGAGCATTGATCCACGCAATTGTGATACGATGACATGCATCAACCAAGTCAGCGAACCTGACCACCTGATCCCGTTAGTCGCCTCTTACGACAAGCATAGTCGCCTTTTACGACAAGCATGGGTAGCTGAAGACCTATTCTACCCTCTTCTTCAAGGGTTGCAAATTATCAGAAAAGGGTAAACATGTTTCACTGCTTCCAATCAAAACCTGGAAATGAAGCAAATCACCAAGCACTAAACGATGTGACATTGTCAAATATGTTGAAAATCAGGTCATCTCGATAACGATGAAGTCTAACAAGACTGGTTGTACATGAAGGTTTAACATTGGAAATCATTTCATCTAATTATATATAACAAGTCTAAAGCATTACTGAATTCAATACACATTAACATGGCATGCAGGTCTCACGAAAAAGCCTACTGACAATGCCTATCACGACTATGATTCACCCACCTGTGGCCATTGAGACTCTCCCAGAAGGTGATGACGCCATCTGTTGTGATGGTCATGACCCAGGCATGTACAGACCCCTTGGCCTTGGTGCCCACGCACACATAGGCATCGAGTCCGAAGCCCATCAGTAGGCTGCACAGTAACACTGCATGATCCTCGCAGTCCTGGTAAATACACCACACAACATCAGCTCATATATAGAGGGGACAAAAACTAGGAGTGTAACCACATTTCAAACTATTAAAATAATACAATTGTACAATGTCGATAAGAATTTAAGAGCACCGATTGTATTTTTGATAGTATGCATAACAATGCATAGTTTCAAAAGTTACCATTAGTTATAAATAAAACTATGCATCAGTAAACTTAGATTTTACAGTAGTATTTCAAACCAGCCGAATGTAAATAACAAGGATTACAACTTCCCTTTGATTTGCATTGCGACAGGGAGGAAAATGGCTGACTTTAACACCTTATTCTTTCCTATCACATTTATTAACATAATTATCATCCCTTAAGGTAGTTTAATGCTATACTACCATCACAATACTATCCAAATAGTGAAAACAGCCCCAGTAGTGACTCCCAACATCACACAGAAAACTCAACTAATTAACTGGAGGAGTTGCTTAAGATGTGATGTTATGACCTTGGCAGAATCTTAGTGCTTTGGTCTGAGATTAGCCTATTATCAGGCATCACAAGAAAGATTGTCCCGATATTCAGAGTCCCGATAAGCAACACTAAGCTACATAAAACAACATGGTCCTTATTATTCTGGCAGAGAATACTCATGGACTAGAATGGTTTTTTGACATCTGAAAGTTATGTTTGTGTTTATATTTGTATATTTTTAAAAACAGGAAGCACATGACATTATTTTACACCATCTAATACAGACTTCTGAATTACATCCATCCTCGGGTTTCCTGACTGACGACATCTCTCGTTTATCCTGATATTAATCATGCTCATTTATCCAGTGTATTAGATCTCCGTTCCATAAGTTAAATACCCTGGGCCCCGTTCCACAAAACAATCTTATTGTTAAGACGATCGCAACTCCCATACTTTAACATAGACTTACGACAATCTTACCGCTAAGATCGATTTGTGGAATGGGTCCTGGACTATTACCATAGTTGAGTCCTGTTCGAATGGCCTGATGCTGAATATAGCAGCTGAATCCAAATACTCTCACTAGCAAGAGAAATTCTGTTCAAACTTACAGATACGAATGATGAAGGCAGTCATGTCGCTTCTGAAGTGAAGCTATGGCAGCGGAATGCTCCAGGGTATTCATCATAACAGAATGGAGACATAACACACGAGATAATTGAGGATATTTTCAGCAGACTTGGCACATGGGCATGGTTTGCGTCCGTGTGAGTAAGCCTGTCCACGTACCCCTTTGTTTCTACACAGGAAGGCGTGCATGTTGGTCCACTGCTCCCGCTTATCTCCCCCTCCCAGAGTCGGCACCTTCTCGTTGTGGATCAGACTGACAAGGCGGGCAGCCTGTCTGGGGGTGTCCAGCAGTCGACCAGCACGCAGGGGCTTCACATAGGAGCACACCGGCCTGTTGGTCCCATTCTCATCCTGACAAATATATATCATACCTTAACATTGTGTGGTATTACTTATATAAACTGACACAAAATATCATTTATTGCACACTGAGCCTTCCTACATGTGACCATAGAATTCACCCTCCAACATTACAAACAGGCGGTACCAGAATTAGAAAATGGAGAATGTGTGTGAGTGTGGTTTAATGCCTCTTTGAAAAGTATTTCAGTGGGATCAGCTTGATGTGGGATGAAAGACTATAGATTTGCTGGTCTTAGATGTTTACTATGTTATTAAAACATATGAGCATGGGTATGGTGCGGACAAAAGCAGAAACATAAGAACATGGAGAGAAAAAAAATACACTTGACATTATCATTATCATTATCATGACATCAACAACATCCTATCTAACCTGAGCAAATATCTTGACAAGTCTATCCTTGTGAGCTTCTCTGATCTGGAGGAACTCCTTCCACCATTGTTTGGCATAGACAAGAAACAACCTCTCCTTTTCCGCCTGTCGAGACCGCTCGAGGTCCAGCTGTGCCCGCACAACACGCTCGTCCATCACCTGCTGGGATCTGGGATACAGCTCCATCTGGACCTCCAGGATACCTACTGGTACCTTGCTCTCATTGCCTGGGTAGAAACAACAGTTTGACTTTACAGACAGACACTGGGAGGTGACTTGGGCTTTAGGCCTGAATAGATGTCGAAGTATCTGAAGAATCTATACACACAGTCATTAGAGTTTTGCCGTTTGCCAAATATTGAGACTAGATGCAAAAAATTCCCTATTCCGTGGGATCCAAAAGAGTATGACTGTTTGAATCATTCTATTTATTAAACTTGTAAATTGCCATTAACATATAATTGATATCCACTCAGTGCTCGGCACTTAAAGCAATCTCAGCACTATGACTATCTTAATTCTAAGAAGTTTTGGTGCTGAGATTACTTTCTGGAACTGAGAACAGGAAAGAAATGAACACAAAGATAAGGATGTTGATGGCAAATTTGCTTCAATGTAACATTTAAATCTCCAATTATAGGCTCAAAGTTCCTAAGTATATGCAGTAATGTGTCATCAGAAAATCTTGTAAATATAATTATCCTATTTCAAACAATGCATTTTTTCCTTCTTTTGATCCTTATGTGGAAACAATGCTTGAACAAAGTTTCCAGCTTCTAAAAACAATTCACCCGAACCCATCCCAGCATCACCATGGTCACGACCCAAGCAAATGGGTTATGCACTCTAATCCTGTTTGCTGTGACCTTATACAACTTGATCACCTGACTCCCCCTTCCACATTCTCTTCCTTAGAGCTGACAGGCTGGAGGAGCTATGATGTGGGGATGGTTGGGAGGGCATATAATGTGTGAGATAAGAAATGTATTATAAATATCCAGTTTAATGTAAAATTTACAAATCCTATCTCACACTATGCATTTAGTGATACACACAGTAAAGCTATAAAACTGCCTAGTGTCGAAAAGATAACTCATGAGTGGCTAACAAACACCATAACAGGCGATGAGACCCCTTTACACTAGTCAGACGTTACAACATGAAATTGAGTATAACATGTGTAATGTGTAATGTGTTTGTTTGTTGCTTAACGCTGCACTCAGCAATATTCCAGCTATATGATGGTGGTCTGTAAATAATCAAGTCTGGACCAGACAATCCAGTGATTGACATCATGAGCATCGGTCCAAGCAATTCGGATACGATGACATGAATCAACCAAGTCAGCGAGCCCGACCACCCGATCCCGTTATTCGCCTCTTACAACAAGCATAGTCGCCTTTTATGGGAAGCATGGGTTGCTGAAGACCTTTTCTACCCCGGATCTTCAGGGGACCCACACCCACTAACAGACTACTGTTTCTTGATTGGTTTGTTAATAAACTAGGCAGGCTTGTGTAGTATTATTGCGGGGAACGATGTTGCTGCTTTTGTATTGTTGTCTACCGTTTTGGGTATATTAACTATAATATAATCAGTCTGTTAAGTTATTGTTGACTTATTTATTTATAATTATGATAAAAAAATTGACTTCAGTATGCTTTCCATTTTTGGAGTTGTATAGATAAAAATTGGTGTGCATACTTTGTGTAAATCTGCTATGTGGATTTACACTGTATACACATGACGTTTTTTAAATCCATATGTAATTTTTTAAATAATCAATTATTTTACATATTCAAGTTTATGCAAATAATTAATATCATTAAGATTATACAGGTATATGTCATAAGTGATAACTACCTATTCCTTTGAGTTCTACGGAGATTTTCATGTTTGACTGTGATGCTGTCAACACTGGCCGCCATTCAAAGAAATGAGACGATACAAGAGTTGTGTCCCCTGTTGCGTCTGTCTTCACCAGGACCATGTGGACCGGGTCCGAGAGGGACAACATGCCTGCTGGATCTGCCATCCGACCAGCATCTCCTGGCAACAGGACAGGTAAAATCATTAAGAAGAACAAAAGAAACAATTTCAAGTCTACAAAAATTTGTCAATTGATACTTGTATCTTAATACCATATCTACAACAGAATAGACAGAATGAGTCTCAATAATATCATACATTTCTTGAACAAATGACATTGGAATCTATGAGAGTGAAATTTTAATGATGCTAAGCTCATAAGTTCGGCTTTGTATTTCAAGAATTATTTCATCTATATTACATTAAGAATTGGTGAGTATTCCACAAGGGTTACCATGGTTACCTGCTGTATCTTTATGGAGTTCCAGCAGGAACATCTCGTCGAACTGAGGCTCACAGGCACAGGCAACAGGCCGGGACTTGAACCTCTGACCCCTGAAGTAGACATGGAGACAGAAGTAGGCGCTGACTTTCTGACCTGGAAGAGGGTCATCATCCTGGAGATGTTCCAGAAAGGCCTTGCCGCCGTACACATGCAGGTGAAGATAGCGCCGGCTTGGGTCCAAGTTGGCTGGAGTAAAGAAAATGGTAATTATGCTTTATTTTGTGCCAGTTCCCTTCTGCTATCAGTAAAATGTAAGTCACCTGTTAGTTATTACTAAAATAACATGACTTTTCAGCGGTAGAAACTAACAGTTTCCATCCACTAGCCCTTATTATGATAACATAAAGCAAACCCCTTATAAATGACAAAATTCTACTTGTCCTTATGATACCTTAACTATTGGGCAGTTTGGCAAGGACTACAGAACTACTGATTTTCTTGAGTATAGTGCGCACTTTTTTTCGAAAAGACACAGCATTGTAGAAGGGGGTGCGCATTAAACACGAATTATGAGTTTGGATGTTTTTTTCCCCCATGGAAAGACATTACCGTGAGCACAAAACACCGGGAATACCATGTCAACAAATCCATACTGAAGTACGCGAAATAATTATGTAATTACACTGTCTGGCTATAAAAAGTGTTCTTTGTATATCTGAACTTATGTTTGTAACTTATGTCATTGATTTTATTCAAAATTCCTTATAATATTGTTTTTATTAATTTCGGCGAAATCGTGTGTGAAGCGATCGGAAGATCGCACAACTCACCGTTATTAACAGCAACCACAGTCAGAATACCGCTATTGACGCCTTGAAACAAACTTTAGTTGACAGAGAATGGATACATATATCATAAATGACATACTTTGACTCGTTAAAAGCCATATTTGTTTTTGTTTGACGATTCTATGTCAACATGAAATTCTCGCGATCACGTGATCATGTGCGCGTGAGCCTTGACGGTGACTGGTCAGACCTGTTCCATGTAAAAAATAATACCCGGGAATAGCCATCAGCTGCTTCGCTTAGGGTTATTATTATTTTAAATATGTTTAGTAAAGGTTGCATATAATTAAGAAAATAATGGAATATATTATTCCTGATAAATAAAATAGTTTCAGATACAATTGTTGCCGATCCTTGCATTAAAAATCTTATAAAGTTATATCATTGGGTGTGTCTTGACCGAATCACCGGTCGATTCCAAGAAAATGTGTGTACAGCTGATTGCTGTTTCCAGCTTAGTTTACGAGAAAATACGCAAGGTAATCTTAATCCCTAAATATAAAACAATGCCTAGCAGAACAATAAATACTATTTAAACGGTAAATAAACATGTCTGGTGATTTTTTATCTCAAATTTCGAATTTGTACTGACGAAGTTTCTCAGCACCCGTTCGTTTGCCGGACTTCGCTGAAAGGGTACGGTGTAAAAAATTTCTGCGCATAATATTCAAATTTCTTTTTTTCCAAAATATTGAACCCGCTAGAGGGGGGTGCGCATTATACATGGGTGCGCACTATACTCAAGAAAATACGGTAGTGCCAATTCCTAACGCTGCTTTTCATCTTTATATTAATATTTGGGAAATTTGACTGACATTTGCTGAAGACTTGGGGCAATATCGACCTCTGGGAATATCTCTATTTTACAACATATGTGGAACTTGTTTACTACTTTGATTAAGTATCAGCTGGCAAGCTGGCATCATATGTCCAACAATTTTAGTAAAATCTAAATATTTTTTACATTTGTATACTTATCCTGCATTACTCCTTAATGCATTCACTGCTTACTTACGACAACTAGAAGGACAGCGCTGCGAAGGTCCTGGGTGAAGAAATAAAGTTGTTGTTCTCAAGTCCCAATCAGTGGCCTTCCGTCGCTGTCCTGTGACCTTGATGACACCTAAGGTCATCTTCACATCACTGCCTGTCGCCCAAGCTCTTAGAAAAACATACTTTTGAGGTTTCTGAAGCCAAAGTGGGGAGGCAAGTCTAACGACGGGTGGGCCTTAAGCGTAGTAATGCAGGATAAGTATACAAATGTAAAAAATATTTAGATTTTACTAAATTTTTTACTTATCCTGCATTACTCCTTAATGCATCTGTATCGGACGGTTTGGAGGTGGGTCAACCTTCAGAATACAGAAACCTCAATAATTCACACCCTGCAATACGACCCCATTTGGTCGATAAACCGTGAAGCGGAACAGTTCAGACAAAAACGCCATTACGGTAGGGTTGTTCAAAAATCAAAAACATTGAACATAGGAATTAAAGAGAAATTCCCTATACACGCTTAGTAATAAAGAAAATAATAGCTATTCAGCTAATTCTTTACTTACTGCGTCATAGAGCCGTCGCTGACAAACAAGATTGTCTAATATTCTTCCACTGGTGGCGACTGAGTGACTGCACATGGAAGTTGACTGGCTCTGTATAGGGCGAGTTCATTATTTGCGTCAGTGGTTGGCAATCTGCAGGATAACAACCAGAGGGCCAAACTTCGAACGTCTTTGACATCCTCGAGAGTCACAACGCGAAGGTTATGACTAACGAAAATATGTGTCGAATCTCCAGAAATATCCTTCCGTGATTGTTCCAAAACCACAATTGCCGTGTTGAGCCCTGGTAAGGCTGACACCTTGAGATCTTGAGGGTAATTCGCTCTCGGCGAGTTCCGTTTGATGATCTCGTAGGCCTGAAGGATTACTGCGCGTAACCATATAGATATGGTGTTTGCGATTATGCGACTAACTTCTGTCGTGGACGAACCACGCCTTGTCTTGGAGCGTCGAATGAAAACTCGAACTGCTCGCACCGAGCCCAGGAGAACTTCACCATGTACGATTCCCACAATAGTCGATATCGGTGGGATGGTGAAGAACGGTCGGGTTGGCCTGGTAGTAGATTTTAGCAATAAAATCCCAGCATAACCCTAGATGTCCTGTTCTGTGCGTCCCATGCTCAAAACGGATCCGGGTTGAGTCGACCACATGTAGTTCGCTCACCCGTACCGCCTTTGCTAATGCCAAGAGAAACCATTGTTTCCTTGGTGATGTCCAAGCTCCTCACAGCGATAGCCCGTTCGTGGAGCTCTCTATACTATACCGAGAGTGTAACGAAGGTGTCACGCGCTGGGAAGGAGCTTGAAAATGAGGATGCAATGAGGGGCTCGAAGGGGGCCCCTTTCAAACCTCGAAGTACCACGTTCAAGTCCCAATCAGGTGGCTGGAACTTGGCCTTCTGATCCTCAAACCTGAATGAGCATAATATGGCCTGTAGTTCCCTGACCTTAATCACACTGTGATTTTCCGGAAACGGCCAACACTAAGATAATTGCAGCCAATTACGTAGTAATGGTGCTACCTTCCAAGTGTTTTTGGGTACGCAATGTAGGAGGTATTCCTCTAGGAATTGTGACGCAATCGTAGGGTCTTGATTCTTTTCTTCCCTGTAAAAAGTCTCAAGTGATCCCCACTTGTCATCGTCGTCTCTGGGAGAGTAACGATGAACTAAAGCTATAGCTTTGCTGCCCGTGTCGAAATAACCCTTCGCACTTAAACGCCTTTTAAAGACGAACCATGCGTGCAGACGTTGGGTGAGGCAATTTTCTGTTGAGGGTGGATGAGTAGGTTGGACCACTGTGAGAGGGGAAGTGAATCGTTTTAGATTTTTCCGAGCTTGACGAACTACCCTCTCGCCGGTTACCATGGTGCGACCAAAGGAGAGATCGAGATACCTTGTCTCCTTGATCCCCTGTAGCACCTTGGGAAGTTATAGTGGTGGCAGAAGAGTTTTAGTTCTTTGCCCTTCCCAAGTGATACTGAACTCGTCCACCGCCCAAGTCTGCGGATCCGGCAACGGGGAGATATACGTCATGAGTTGGTGGCCTAGGCAAGTAATAAACAAGTCAATGTTTGGTTGCCTGAATTCCTGAAGCAGTAACTGGAATGCTTCTGTGAGAAATTTCCACTCAGTGGGAGCCACCCTGTCTGGACGTGATAAAGTATCGGCCAGTATGTTTCTACATCCGGGGATGTGCTGAACTATGAACCTTAGTCACAGCCGATCCACTAGATGGAAGAAATCTGAATGTCCTTAGAAGTGGAGAGTGGGAGTGTGTTGTTCCCCGATTGCACAGGCACCACACCGCAGTGCTGTTGTCTGTGGATATAGCGAGTCGGGCTAACTGTAGTTGATTCTGCCAATGTGATATAGCCAGAATTAAAGCTTCCAACTCCAAGTTGTTTATGTGCCACTTCCATTGTGCGCCGGGCCATAGCCCTGAGCTTATCTGGTCTTGTAAGTGAATACTCCACCCCTGAAAGGGGACGTCCACAAACAGGTGTGTATTCGGGGAAAATCCGAATAAACAGACTCCGCAGACATTCAGCGCCACAAATTGAGGCTCTAGCTTAGTTGGTAGAGTGATGGCCTTGAGTGGATCCTGACTCCTGATGTAAGGGTTCAGGAAAAAAATTGAATTGGTCGCTGTTGTAAGCGGCCCATGCTAGTTAACTCCTGTGCCGAGGTGATTAACCCTAGCAACACTTGCCACTGGCGAAGTGTGTGTGGTTGGTGTAGAGTAGATGACAAAAGAAGTAGAAACTTGTGCCATCTGTCCCTCGGTACAGATAGGATATCCTGGTCTGTCTTAACCAGGTCTCCTATGAACTGAAGTCAATAGGAAGGAGAATACTCCCGACTTCGCCTCGTTGATTGTCTATCCCAGTTATTGACATGTGTTGATGATACAGTAGATAAAATAAATCAGCAATGATTTTGTTGGAGAGGAAAGTTATTAGGACATTCTACTACATGTATATGATTATAATTACCAAATTTGAAGAAAATCTTTAATTTAATCAGTCAATGTCCTAGAAATTAAACCCTGAAACCCTGATAATTGACATCAAATCTCACCTCGTTTTGAAGCAGTATGTTGTGTGGCATGACTATCTCTGTCCATGAAGTGGGAGGCAGGAGGACCTATGGCTGAGTTGCCGTCAAAATGTAGCTGGTGCAGGATGTCATCAACAACACCCTTCTGTCTCAGTTTCTGCATCAAGTCTTGCTCACTCACATGGTCAGATCGACCTTGGAACTCGTCATGAATAGTCTCTGATAAAATGTCTCGAATCCGAGACTGAATGTCCATCTGACGAAGTAGGATGAAGGAAGAAAAATGTTGGTAATACACTCCATACAACTAAACAACACATAACAGTAACCTAGTCTTCTGATTTCTTTTGTTTGTAATTGTGCTAATAGTAGTATCATGGGATAACATTTATACTAAGTTATTATAATAATTAGATCTACATCAAGTGCTTTTATGAGTTATCATGATGTAATATTTATACATCATTTCATATAATTGTAGTTTTAGCAAGTAATAATTATCATTAGGTAAAATGCATATATAAAATATCAGTAGTTTCAGTTAAAGCTTTTTAGATGGTTGCTAGCCTAAGGTAATGGGAGCGCGTCTTCTAGACATACTATTCAATAAGACAAGAGTTACGTCTACATAGTTTAATTGATTTGAAGCTTTTAGATAAATGCTAGCCTAAGGTATCAAGATCCCATCTCCCAGACAAAGGATATTTATTTAAGTATATCTGTCATCACCTACCGGGGTATATTAGAATAACATTACTTCAATTAAGACTCATTAAGGATTAGCCCCCATACAAGCTCGTCTATAGTGCATTAAGGATTAGCCCCCATACAAGCTCGTCTATAGGGCATTAAGGATTAGCCCCCACACAAGCTCATCTATAGTGACACCCTAATCTCTTTCAAAGCATCCAGTAAATATGTCAACAAGATTAGTGCCAGTCCAACAGGATAAACAGGATTTAGTATTCCCCTCTGTCTAGCCATCCATTTAGCTTAGGACACAACCAAGCGTGTATCATCCAATCACATTCCTTTCTATTGTTTAAATTTTTGTTAAATACATACTGTAGGCAGGTTTTAGGCAGAGAAGGGGTTTGACTCTCTTACCAAGCAGACCTCTCTCCCTCAGCCCAGAGTGTGTACCGACTCTCTGTTGCACCCTCAGTTATTTTCTAAGATATTGTAAATTGCTCATTGTTAATTGTTCTTGTAAATAAAATTGTGATTAGTCTCCTGTGACTCTGGCTCTTTGCTGACTAATTCCCCAAGAAAACCAGCACGTCATTTGGAAGGTATTGTTCACCCAGAACAGTTCCATGATAGTAGTAACCATGGTAACCGAAAAAACATTCAACCATGAAAAATATCTTTGCTATCTTTTTTTTTATCAAATGTATATATCTATTTCCATCTTAAACAATTACCTCCTCTCACAATGTTGACTGAAGCAAGGATTTCCGACATATATAATCAACCAAATACAATGCATAAAGACAAGTTGATAAAGACAAGTTTGGTAAGATTATGGTATATCCCACAATAGCATGAAGAAATTGTCAAACTGACAATTGCCAAGGTTTATTCTATAAAAGTACTAGATGTTTCATTAACTTACAGGTAAGTGACATCTTTAGGTATGCCACATATGCTAAGTTATTTGTTTTTGTCAACATTCAGATGTAGTATTACCCTATTACAGGGATTAAAACTTCAGTCAACTTCAGTGCATGCATGATCAGACTATTTAATACCTGTATCTAAATAGGTCTTGCCTGTGCTCCAGTAAACAATTGGTCAGTTTGTACCCAGATATTGAGACATACAGCAGGTACATGGGTAGGGTCAGGTAATAGGGGGTCAGGTACCTGGCTGGTAAATTAAGACTCGTTCCAGCCTTACCCCATCAGCAATATTAGCTGGATGTAATTCACTGAGTAAACTGTGAATAATTTGGCATGATGAACACAGATAAGTAACATCTTCCATTTCACTATATAACAAATGTTTGGAAATTTCCCGAATATCTGACAATGTACATTACAACACACTTTTAATCATAGTAATGCACCATTTCTATGAACAAACTATAAATCAAGAAAGGACCCTGTTGAGACTAGATCTTGGTTCGACATTTTATGTTGTTTACCTTCCTGTTGAACTAGAATACATGAATACGTTTATCATCTTTTTGATGTTTTCGTTTCATAACTTCAAATGTAACACTCAATAACGTTACATCATTTACATGGTAGACATCAATTGGGAGGAGCTCATAGTTAGCAGTTATGGGTATTGATTCCTAATGTCCAAGTGGTTCTCAGATTCAAGGACTGGCGGAAAGACAATAAGCCACAGTGTATTTGCAATAAACATGACAAACCACCCTCCCACTTTTCTTATTTCCGGCAGTAGCCTAACTGGGTTAACCAACAGTAATAAAACCAACATACATGAACTATCACAAACCAAAACCAATTCTCAAGTATATCTAATACAATGCCACTTTGATAGTGTAAGGTGGGAAGCTAAAGCATCGTGGTCGTTTGTAAATATACACACGTGCAAGTTCGTTCTTGTTTTCATCGCTGTCAGCTACTGAGTCATGTAAAAAAATGCACAATATACACCCACCTGTGAAAGCTGGGAATGGATTATTTGTTTCAATTCTGATATTTTCTCCGGAGGTAGTGACATGTCGCCTGGTGGTTCCTTCCTGTCTTAACGTAATCCAAACAAGAGTATCAGCGTGCTGTTATGTGCTGTCACCTTGTTTCGAAAATGGCCGCGAGTTGACGCGCATGACTGACCTTTCAAGGTCAGGGTCAATGATGTTATCAATGTGAAGGACGTTATCTCACGAGGGAAATATGACGAGCTAACTGTATATCAGTAGTGGAGAAGCCTACAATAAAAGTATGGGGGCTTCTCAAAGTTCAGATAGCGGGGGACCTGATGTTCATTTCACAGATGAAGAGAAGGATAATATTTCTCAAATGTTTACTAAGATATCTCATGGCAATAAGACAATTTCAAAAGAACAGCTACAGGTAAATAATGTTGTTTACATTCACGATTTGGCAACATATGACTCATTAATTCACTCTGTGTACATTTCTTTTCGATGTATTTACCTGCCACTGTTATGTAAGCATCATATATCTAACCTAAAGTGTTATAAAAACCTATTATGATTGATTTTTGTGGCAGAATATCTGATATTCTTAGAGAAAAGGTGCTCGTCTCAATGAGGACCAATGTACAAAAAGTAGTAGATCCGGGGATGAATAGGTCTCAGCAACCCATGCTTTCCTGGGTTGTTTTCCTGGCGACTATGCTTGTCGTAAGTGGCGACAACCGGAAATGGGTGGTCAGGCTCGCTGACTTGGTTGATGCATGTCATCCTTTCCCAAATGCATGGATTGTCTGATCCAGACTTGACAAGAATGGAAATAGGCATAGCAAACCAATCAAGTCCCCGCTGTAAAAGGGGTTTATGGGACAATGGACTATTTTTGCCATGATGTACCTGTTGATGTGTAAATGGCAAACATTCTGTGCTGTAACAGATTTAGCATATTTTTTTTTTTCCTACACGCCAACCTAACAAAATAAGATATGATTATTGGATTACACAATTTTTTTAAATGTTCATTTGTTTGTAAAACAATCATTAACAAGTGGTAATCAAACTCATCATTGTATTTATTCATGTGCAGATTTGGAGTAGAATTGGTACACATTTACCTATGCTTGTCAATCACTAGATTACCGGTAGTTCTAGATATATTTGTTTCTGTTAATGATCTATCTTGATAGTCGTAAGATGAATAGATCCCTATTCAAAGTAATGTGAAAACACATTACACAACCCGTGAAGATTCGGGGTAGAGTAGATCTTCAGCAAGCCATGCTTGCGGTAAAAGGTGACTTGTCGTAAGTTGTGACTAACGGGATCAGGTGGTCAGGCTTGCTGACTTGGTTGATGCATGTCATCGTATCCCAATTGCATGGATCGATGCTCATGATATCAATTAAAGGATTGTCTGGTCAATTATTTACAGGCCGCTGTCATATAGCTGGAATAGTTCTGAGTGTGGCGTTAAGCAACAAACAACACATTAGTAAAGACATAATTAACTTGTAAGGTGTGGACAATTGTTTCTTTCAGTTCCACACAGGCCCTGTCCTGGGACAAGAGTTGAGCCTCAGCATGTTCTGTCTGATGGAGTTGTCTGGAAAACGGCATCAGCCTGGGGGCGGCGTCGATCTGCAGCAGTTCTTGCAGTGTCTGTCTAGTTTGCTACGAGGCAGCGTGACGGAGAGGTCGACTGCTCTTTTACATCTGGCAACAAGGGGAAAGTCAGAAGCAACACCTCAGCAACTAATTAAGGTCAGCACATGTTTTTGTTCTGGGAAATTCTTTTGAACTAGTACTGACATTTTTCTGGATGATAATAGCTTGTCAGCATTGTGCGAGCAGTATTCCCTATGTGCACATTTCATTTATCTATGTCGGACACATAATTACTGTCAAGCTCGCTGTCCTAGTTGATGGATGCATCACATCCCAAATCTGTAGTTCAATGCTCATGATGTCAGTCACTGGATTGTTTGGTCCAGACTTATTTATTTACAGACCACTAACATATGGCTGTGTGTCTAGTGTACATTCAGGTCATTGCTCTATGACAACATCTTCAATATTGAAGTTTTTAATATTAAAATGGAAGCAATATCACATCTTTGTTCTTGAGTGAAGAAAATTGGACACAGACAGTGTGAACTTTGATTGTGTTTCTTATCAGGATGAAATGTGAGCAGAATTGACACGAATGATACATGAGTGCGACATTAAACAACAAACAAAAATTTCTGTTGTCATGGTAATAAACATCCTCAGTTATCCAGTGTATTATAGGGGCGGTTGGGTAGCCTAGTGGTTAAAGCGTTCGCTCGTCAGGCCGAAGACCCGGGTTCTATTCCCGACATGGGTACAATGTGTGAAGCCCATTTCAGGTGTCCCCTGCCGTGATATTGCTGGAATATTGCTAAAAGCAGCGTAAAACCATACTCACTCACTCAGTGTATTATACGTTTAGTCTATTTTGCATTCTCGACCCAATTGCTACCTTAGTTCCATTTGGAGCTAGGGGCACGGGTGGCCCAGTCGTCTTAGGCGCTGCGATTCGCTGTGCAGAGTTGCGTCCCTTGGGAACGCCAGAAACCTATGATTGTGGGTTCGAATCCCGGTTCGCCCCGATTATGTTTCTAGGTTTGTCAGCACCATACCCGTGCTCGTGGGTTTCACCGAAGTGGTAAATGTCTGAGACCTGCATCACTTTGGGCTTTCCTCCCACATTAAGCTGACTTGCCGTGATATAACTGCAATAATGTTAAAAGCGGCGTTAACCCCAACTCACTTACTTACTCCATTTAGAGCTATTTTTGATTGACACAATGCTAATGATAACTGTCCAGCAGAGCACTAGATAAGCTTTTTGTTCTTTGGGTATTTTGCCCAGGGGTTTGATTTTGATTAGGTATCCACAATTTTTAGAGGGTACTCAAATCTTTTTTACCTACCTTATTCTTCACATTTGGGTATTTTAAGTTGAAACCTGTTGCATAACAATCCCTGTAAATCATTTTAAACTATATGCCAGATAGTATACCCGTCTGTGTCTGTGTGTGGCTCCCTCTTCGGAAAGCCATTTTTGTTTGCAAAACATAGCATTGTGAGAAAAGCGCTATTTTTTCAGTCACCAATTAGGGATTAATTAAGATACAACATGTACATTGACTTGGCACGATGTGCTATCAATTGGCATCTATCAGTATGTTTGTCGCAGAAGCTTTTCCACATGTAACTTTTTGTAAGTATTTTCGCGATCGGTTGATACACAATCATTTTATCTAACAGTTGTAGTATACGCTATTATTTTCTCTAATAGTTGTAACATACGCATTATTTTATTTCAATAGCGTATTTATAGTTTTTGTTGCATATTTGATATGTTAGGATTTGATTTGTCTGTGTATGTCAGTATATTTAATGCATATTTTACGCAAATACACATCTTATCTCGAGCTCTGGTCCAGTCAGATTTCTCCCATGAACAAGAAAAATTCTGTGCAAATTTTGACAGATATGAGAGATTGAGATTTTGATGTTTCTCACGAAACGAGACTATGGTGGTAAATGAGTGTGAGATATGAAAAAACTAGAAAAAAGTAATATGATATTAAAATTAATATTAAAATGGAGGCATTAACAATATTAGCATTGCATATGATGTGAAGACTTACACATATCTGTTGATTTCCTTTTCGAAAACAAAACTGTGTACTTGAATACTTGAAAACTGGACTCTGGCAGTGTGGACTGTGATTGTATTTCTTATCAGGAAAGTAATATCCCTCTGACGTGTTTTATCCTACATGGAATAACACATGAACTGTATTGTGTTTCAGTGTGTGACAATGCTGATATACAGTTTTGCAAGAATTGCAGAGAAACATGATGAGTATAAAAGTTGGGTGTTGCATCGAAGTGAAGAATCCTACTCGCAACTTGCCCTCTGTCTTTTGGAGGATCTCTTCCATACAGGTGTGTGCTCCTTCCCTCTTCCTCCCGCGTCTACGCCAGTCTTTGGTCATTCAGACTTACTGGATTTGTTGAATTTTATTTTGTTTACATCCCTCTTCCTCCCGTGTCTACACCAGTCTTTCGTCATTCAGACTTACTGGATTTGTTGAATTTTATTTTGTTTACATCCCTCTTCCTCCCGCGTCTACGTCAGTCTTTGGTCATTCAGACTTACTGGATTTGTTGAATTTTATTTTGTTTACATCCCTCTTCCTCCCGCGTCTACGCCAGTCTTTGGTCATTCAGACTTACTGGATTTGTTGAATTTTATTTTGTTTACATCCCTCTTCCTCCCGCGTCTACGCCAGTCTTTAGCCATTCAGACTTACTGGATTTGTTGAATTTTATTTTGTTTACATCCCTCTTCCTCCCGCGTCTACGCCAGTCTTTGGTCATTCAGACTTACTGGATTTGTTGAATTTTATTTTGTTTACACCCCTCTTCCTCCCGCGTCTACGCCAGTCTTTGGTCATTCAGACTTACTGGATTTGTTGAATTTTATTTTGTTTACATCCCTCTTCCTCCCACATCTACGCCAGTCGTTAGTCATTCAGACTTACTGGATTTGTTGAATTTTATTTTGTTTACAGTGGGTGGGAAAAGGGATATTTTAGGTATATTTTGTTTGTTCTTCAAAAGGTTACCGCCCAGCTCTAATAAGCGCCCACGGTGATATTTACTAATATATTGGCTAGTGAACAGTCCCAATTAGCACCCCTTCCGATTGGTCAATGTACAAAAGACTTATTTATTTGCGTATAATACGCACTCGTGTGTTATACTGAATTATGGGCATTTAAATTCTGGGAAAATATATCTGTCGTATTTAAACATTTCAGGCTGTCAGCATAAACCACAAAATTTATCTTTCAACTCTGTTTTTTTCACCAAAATAATATTCTAATAAGAGCCCCCTATTTTTAATTTTGAGAGCGCCCTGGGCGCTTATTACGTCGAATACAGTATTTGAATATGTTGAGAAGTAGTCTTTTTATAGCTGAAGGTAAACAGCATACATATTTTGGTGAACACATAAGTTTGTATTAGACGGAATAAAAAAAAATAAATAATGCTTTTCAAGTTTCATTTTTCACAATTCTTAAGTTTATGTCAGCAGAATCCACAAACAAATTAGGAAGTACAGTCTTGGAAATGTGAAGTCCATTTTGGGATAAACCCACCATGTTATGTATTTCAAACATTGATTTGATACCTCTAACCTTTCTTTGAAGACAATTACATTTCAAATTGGAACTATTTACTAGGTTACAAACTTTTGATGATCTACAAACAAGCTCCTGCTCATGCTATCGACCACCAGTCTGCCTGCACTGACCCAGTCACATCTTCCTGGCTGTGGTACTGATGCATCCCTTAGGGATGCCATCATGATAGTGGGTTTGAATACTGGGTTGTCAGCACCATACACCTGCTCACGGGTTTCAACAATACAGTAAACGTCTAAGACCGGCATCACTTCAGGTTTTCCTCCCACATGAAGTTGACACTCTGAGATATAACTGGAATACTGTTCAAAGCAGCGTTAACCCAATTCACTCATTGATGAAAATAATGTAAGATTAAGTTTCCTCACCAACTCGTCTTGCATTATCTTGCTTTACACAGGTCCTGCCAAAGACATTGGCATGGGAGTTCCTGTGGTACCAGACAATACTACCTTTCATCAGAGTCAAATAGAAGACTGCATTTCTAAATCACAGCTGTTCCTCCAGATGTTTGAACAGATCTTCTCCGGATGTTTTCATGTACTCTCAGTAAGTTATGTTTCCATTATCATGGGGGGCGGTCGGGTAGCCTAGTGGTTAAAGCGTTCGCTTGTCACGCCGAAGACCCGGGTTTAATTCCCAACATGGGCACAATGTGTGAAGCTCATTTCTGGTGTCCCCCGCCGTGATATTGCTGGAATATTGCTAAAAGTGGTGTAAAACCTAATTCACTCACTCACTCCATTACGATGGTAGAGCGTCTGTCCAGAGAGCGGAAGGTCGGGGGTTCGAACACTAGCCAAGTCATTCCAAAAAATGTTAAAAAATGGTATTTTTTGTTACCCTGTCTGTCACTCAGCATTAATGGGCTAAAAATGGACTGGTCGGCTTGGAGTCAGTATGCCATGGTATACTGTGTCTGAGTGAGGTATTCATGTTAAACTGTGGGTTGGTATCTCAGTGGGCTATCACTATTGGCATTAGTCTGGACTAATGTAAATGCACGTCGCTATATAAGCGCAATAATCTTGAAGGGGCTAAAACTAGGACTGGTCGGCTTGGAGTCTATACTGTGTCTGAGTGGGGTATTCATGTTAAACTGGGGCATGGTGTCTCAGTGGGCTAGCACTATAAAATCGGCATTAGTCTGGACTAGTACAAGCAGCTACACACACACGTGAATAATCTTGGACGAGACGTTAAACCCCATTTCAACTCGCCTTGCCTCCATCATCATGACTTACCTCACCTGCGGCATGGTGTCTCAGTGGGCTAGCACTATAAAATCAGCATCTTGGACAAGACGTTAAACCCCATTTCACCTCGCCTTGCCTCCATCATCATGACTTACCTCACCTGCGGCATGGTGTCTCAGTGGGCTAGCACTATAAAATCAGCATCTTGGACGAGACGTTAAACCCCATATCTCCTCGCCTTGCCTCCATCATCATGACTTACCTCACCTGCGGCATGGTGTCTCAGTGGGCTGACACTATAAAATCAGCATCTTGGACAAGACGTTAAACCCCATTTCACCTCGCCTTGCCTCCATCATCATGATCATTGATCCTTGTGATGAGGATATTGATCCACAGTATCCCATGCTTGTCGAAAGAGTTGTCTGTTATGGGTGAGGCCCGTCTCACAAAGCGATCATAGTACTACGACTTTTGTAATTCTATGTTAATATAGAGGAGTTACGATTGTTTGTATTATTCACAGATCCCTGACATAGTCGTAATACTTCTGTCTGCAGCGTCACCCAACATGCTCTCTTTTGTCTTCCAGAAGGAGGAAGAAGTGGCCCACCATCTGACCCCACGGGTACCAGTGGCCGGCTGTATCAACTGGGCCAAGGTCAAGAGCATCCTAGACTTTCCCTCCCTCATCTTCCTCAACTCGGTGCTGCCCCCTGACAAGCAGATGGAGTGGCGCTTCCTCTACTCCAACCTTGTGTTCGGGGACAGCTTCACCCAGCTGGTACAGAAGATCACCAAACAGGGCCCCACTGTCGTCATCATCAGGGACAAGGATGGGCATGTGTTTGGGGGCTATGCAAGTCAGGACTGGGATTTTAATCCTAAGTTTGCAGGTCAGTTGATCTGAATTGGAGAGAGATTTTATGCCTCTTCTAGTTATATTCCATCTTCCCGAGGCAAGAGAGTTAACTGACTTTATAAGTCCAGTTTCCAACCTTGCCAAACTAGGCTGGAATTACTGGGCTCGATCGTAGCGCCACCAGTGTCTAACTTATGTCCCATCTAATCCTCTCCTGTGGACCAATCAGATTCCACCTCTCGTATCACTTGCGTTTGCTTCAAACAAAATGGTGGCGCCCAGTCAGGACGATCTGATAGATAATCAAGATCTATAGTGTCATAAAACGGGTCTTATATCGTGAAATGCATCAAATCACGTGAGCACCTTGATTAAAAACATGAGAAGATTTGGAAAATATCTGCTGACAACGAGATGGCGGTGCACATACTTTGCAAACCCTGCAATCGACCGAAATCTGATCGACAGTTTACGAACCGGATTTCGATTTCTTTGCGCGGTTTTGACTGGACTATGCATAGGCTCATTAGTCCAGCCAAAATGTAACTCCATAATACCAGCCTAGTTCGGCAAGGGTGGAAACTGGACTTTTAAAGTCAGTTAACTCTCTTGCCTCGGGAAGATGGTTATATTCCAGCAAGAAGGAACACCATGGTGTGCGTCATATCCCACCGCTTGGTGGGGAATCAAAACCAAGCTTTTGTCTTGACAAGCAACTACATTAATGAATATTCTACTCCACCCCCAGTTGGAATATTTAAGTTTACTAAGTATTACGGTAAATTGTTTTGGGAGCATGAATTGACTGCAAGATGATATGTTTGTCCTATCACATTGAAATTCTCTTCCTATTTATAGAATAACTTGATAATTAGCAGTTTGCTAACAAGGTTAGTTAATATCAAGGTCATTTATAGGAGCAGCACAGAGCTACAGTTACCGTAGCTATTCTAACAAAATTGCAAAATCATTTCAATCGGACAGAGCTACAGATAAGCAGTGTTTTTTTGTAAAATCAATTAACATGCGTACAGAAATGCATGCATTAAATGAAAACCACAAATGTATAAAAACAGCTCAAGTAAATACCCAATGAATCTTTTTCAGCATGCATACAAAGGAGCTAATTTCTGAAACACAATTACAAGCTAATTTACTTTCCCAGTGAAGCCTATATATTCAGAACAGTTATATACATCTAAAACATTATTTCATTTTTTTTCAATCTTAAACTAATTTTGGGAAAAACCCAACAGAGTGAATAATAGATCTACTGAATGAAAAAATATTGGTTACCCAATGAAAAATGTAATAACCCTATTTAAATAGGAACCCAAAAGTAAAAACTGGAGCTCTGATCAAATCATTGTCATGAAGATGTTCTGTGAGTGTCAAGCCTTAGAAATTTGTCTTTTTCAAGACTTGTCCTTTGAACTAGTGTAGACCTTGTCTCTTCTGTCCTCAGAGTTTGAAGCTAGTCCTGCTTGAACAAGACAAAAATGTTTACTATTTTAACATTTTCTTTCTGTTTTATTCAGTTTGTAGCAAACTTGAAGCACTGAACTTTAGAACTTTTGGTTTCAAACTATAGCCCTCAAATGATACTGGTCATTGAAGACTACCATCATCAGATTATTACTTGTCTTCAGCACAATTTAGTAGTCTCAGGGGGAAGGGTCGTGTGAATTTTGAAGGCTCAGTGTCCATTTTTATTCCTCATCTAGGTGATGCTCAGTGTGAGTTGTTCAGTCTGAAGCCACACTATGGGGCGTATACCACCACGGGGTACAACGACCACTACATGTACTTCAACAACCACGTCCAGACTCTGCCCAATGGGTTGGTAAGTGGGTTGGTTGGTTTGGTTTGTTGTTTAACGTCGCACTCAGCAATAATCCGGCTATATGACGGCGGTCTGTAAATAATCGAGTCTGGACCAGACAATCCAGTGATTAATATCATGAGCATCGATCCATGCAATTGGGATACAATGACATGCCAAGTCAGCGAGCCTGACCACCCGATCCTGTTAGTCGCCTTTTACGACAAGCATTGTCGCCTTTTACGGCGAGCATGGGTTGCTGAAGACCTATTCTACCCCGGAATCTTCACGGGTCGGTTGGTAAGTGGGATGCTGGGCTGTTAGGTACTGGGCTGTTTGTAGAAGTCTAGGTGTCATTTGAAATTGCCACCCGATCCTGTTAGGCGCCTCTTACGACAAGCATGGGTTGCTGAAGACCTATTCTATCCCAGATCTCCATGGGTCTGTGAAAGTATGAGACTGTGGCACTGATAACATGATAACTACGGTAATACAATGTGTATTCAGGGTTAGAATTGGTCCCAAGCATCCTGTGCTAGTCGTAAGAGGCCACTTAATGGATTGGGTGGTCAGACTCGATTGATTCTATGTCGTCATACCTGATGTATTGTATCGTTGCATGTAATATCAATCACTGGATTGTCTGGTCCAGACTTGATTATTCACAGGCTGATGTCATAAGGTTGGAATATTGCTGAATGCTGCATTATACAACAAACAAACAAACTAGTTTCTGGATCTCAACACAATCATCTATGCTTATTTAACAAACATGTTAAGCTTGTGCTTAAAGAAATAAAAATAAAAATAACTATTTGCAAGCAGTACTTTTTGGCGAGCAGACTCGTGTGAATTTTGAAGGCTGAGTGTGTTTCATGTTCCTGGCCATGGGTTTATGTTGAGAATGATCTAAGATCTGAGATGAATTATCTGTTATTATCAACATGTAGACTATAGTAATGTATAGCTGGGGGGCACAGGTGGCCCAGTCGTCTAAGGCGCCACGATTCGCTGTGCAGAGTTGCGTCCCTTGTGCACGCCAGAAACCTATGATTGTGGGTTCGAATTCCGTTTCGCCCCGAATTATGTTTCTAGGTTTGTCAGCACCAAACCCGTGCTCGTGGGTTTCACCAAAGTGGTTAAAGTCTAAGACCTGCGTCACTTCGGGCTTTCCTCCCACATTAAGCTGACACGCCGCGGTATAACTGGAATACTGTTAAAAGTGGCTCACTCACTAATGTATAGCTGTGACTTGTCAGGGCATGGGAGGACAGTTCGACTACTTCGGTCTGTGGATCGACCACACCTTCAACAACGGACACAGCAAGGCAGGGCCACGATGCACCACGTACGGCAGCCCACAGCTGTCTGGGAAGCCTGACTTTGAGGTGGACGTTATCGAAGTGTGGGCGGTGGGACCGGAGAAGAAAACAGACGATGAAGACATCACAGACGAGGTAGGTCAGAGGAGTGGTAGGAATAGTGTACTGATGGTGGAGTATGCTGACCTGCTTGTTCCATTGTTGTTATGTCCAGTTTACTGACCTGGGCCCCGTTCCACAAAGCGATCTTAGGGCTAAGTTGATTGTAACTCACTAAGTACGCGATCTTAAATTTTGGTTACGATCGGCCGCCCGTTCCACAAAGCAATCTTAACTAAGAGAGTTGTAAGTTAAGATCAAAATGCTAAGTTGCTCCGGACCAACTTAGGATCGCTAAAATCGATCTTAAATATTGTACCATAACAACAAAGATGGCGTATGTTGACTTATTATTATATCAGATAACATTCTGACAGTCCACAGCTCACTTACTTGTTAGCGATGTCCTCCCATATGCTGCCTTTCAGCTTATTGGTGACGGTAGAGCTGAATGAGGAATTCAGTGTCGTGTGGTGAACAGCCACCTCATCAACAAGGACAGCGATCTCGCTTGCTGAAAAATTGCTGCGACGAACGTGTTTGACGCCGACAGAGGTCTGCGATTCGGCCATATTTCGACAATGCGTCGTCTGCTAAACATGACCAAGGGAGGCCACTCTTAGGGAAACTTTCGTATCTTCATGGCTGAAGATTCCGATCTTTGTTAAGATCGGCTACTTAAGAACTTGTAAAGTTACAATCGCCCTAAGATAGCTTTGTGGAACGGGCGTAAACTTTAGCTAAGACGATTTTATAATCGACGTAAGTCTCTAAGATTGATTGTAGATACGATCGCTTTGTGGAACGGGACCCCGCACAGAAACTGTTGTTCACTGATCTACACTCAGTTGTTGTTATGCTGACTTCCACACAACTATCCTACACCTCCACCCTCCACCTCCACCCACTGACATAACTGTTGTTTCACTGACCTCCACCCAACTGTTGTTTCACTGACCTCCACCTAACTGTTGTTTCACTGACCTCCACCCAACTGTTGTTTTACTGACCTCCACCCAACTGTTGTTTTACTGACCTCCACCTAACTGTTGTTTCACTGACCTCCAACCAACTGTTGTTTTACTGACCTCCACCCAACTGTTGTTTCTCTGACTTATCTGTTGTTTTACTGACCTCCACCCAACTGTTGTTTCACTGACCTCCACCCAACTGTTGTTTTACTGACCTCCACCTAACTGTTGTTTCTCTGACCTATCTGTTGTTTCACTGACCTCCACCCAACTGTTGTTTTACTGACCCATCTGTTGTTTTACTGACCTCCACCTAACTGTTGTTTTACTGATCTCCACCTAACTGTTGTTTCTCTGACCTATCTGTTGTTTCACTGACCTCCACCTAACTGTTGTTTCTCTGACCTATCTGTTGTTTTACTGACCTACACCCAACTGTTGTTTCACTGACCTCCACCCAACTGTTGTTTCACTGACCTCCAACCAACTGTTGTTTTACTGACCTCCACCCACTGACATAACTGTTGTTTTACTGACCTCCACCCAACTGTTGTTTTGATGACCTCCACCTAACTGTTGTTTCTCTGACCTATCTGTTGTTTTACTGACCTCCACCAAACTATTGTTTCACTGACCTCCACCCAACTGTTGTTTTACTGACCTCTGCCTAACTGTTTTTTCACTGACCTCCAACCAACTGTTGTTTTACTGACCTCCACCTCCACCAACTGACATAACTGTTGTTTTACTGACCTCCACCTAACTGTTGTTTCTCTGACTTATCTGTTGCTTTACTGACCTCCACCCAACTGTTGTTTTACTGACCTCCACCTAACTGTTGTTTCTCTGACCTATCTGTTGTTTCACTGACCTCCACCCATGTGTTGTTTCACTGACCTATCTTTTGTTTTACTGACCTCCACCTAACTGTTGTTTCTCTGACCTCCACCTAACTGTTGTTTCTCTGACCTATCTGTTGTTTCACTGACCTCCACCTAACTGTTGTTTCTCTGACCTATCTGTTGTTTTACTGACCTCCACCCAACTGTTGTTTTACTGACCTCCACCTAACTGTTGTTTCTCTGACCTATCTGTTGTTTCACTGACCTCCACCTAACTGTTGTTTCTCTGACCTATCTGTTGTTTTACTGACCTCCACCCAACTGTTGTTTTACTGACCTCCACCTAACTGTTGTTTCTCTGACCTATCTGTTGTTTCACTGACCTCCGCCCAACTGTTGTTTCACTGACCTCCACCTAACTGTTGTTTCTCTGACCTATCTGTTGTTTTACTGACCTCCACCCAACTGTTGTTTTACTGACCTCCACCCAACTGTTGTTTTACTGACCTCCACCCAACTGTTGTTTCACTGACCTCCACCCAACTGTTGTTTCACTGACCTCCAACCAACTGTTGTTTTACTGACCTCCACCCACTGACATAACTGTTGTTTTACTGACCTCCACCCAACTGGTGTTTTACTGACCTCCACCTAACTGTTGTTTCTCTGACCTATGTTGTTTTACTGACCTCCACCCAACTATTGTTTCACTGACCTCCACCCAACTGTTGTTTTACTGACCTAGACCTAACTGTTGTTTCTCTGACCTATCTGTTGTTTCTCTGACCTCAACCCAACTGTTGTTTCACTGACCTCCAACCAACTGTTGTTTCACTGACCTCCAACCACCTGTTGTTTTACTGACCTCCAACCAACTGTTGTTTTACTGACCTCCACCCACTACTGTTGTTTCACTGACCTAACTGCTGTTTCAGTCAAGAAAGAAGAAGAGCATCCTGGACAAGGACCCCGAGGCCCAGGCGATGTTGACGCTGATCGGGAAGGGTCCTGTCAGTGAGGGGCTGCGAGAGGAAGATGACACTGCCGGCAATCCGGAACACAGCAAAGTTGTCTCCCTCTTCTAGGGGCAGATACTAGCGGGGAGGGATAGTAAGAGCTCTGCATTTGATATTTGCTCACTGGATAATGCTAAAGGTTCTGAAAAATGTTTCGTAGGCCAGAAGAATTGTTTGGCTCCTTCTTTAAGAACAAGATTGTATGTTTTGAAGCACTGATAGAAAAAATAGTTTGTCTCAAACAAAAGTGCCAGGCTCGACTTCACCCTACCCCCATTAAATGGTTGGTCCATATGATACTAGTTTAATAGGCCATGACCACATGCATGTGGGGATACAATGTAGTCAGTATTTATTTGGGGTGTAATGTTTCTCCACGACATACCAGCCTCATGATAGCTTAGTGGCAACACACTGAAGTATGTGGCTGTGATCTGACATGTCCTAATACAGATATAGGTGACTGTCATGATACACGACACACTGTGTTACAGTCAGTGTTTGAGTCAACATTTGTCACTTGTCCTGGTCAGGCAGATAACCATTGTGATTATTTGTTCTGTAGGAATGATTATCAGGCTCTGTGGAAGTCAAAATTGCTTCAATCTAGATATTGTTTTCCACATTCCTGATTCTTATGGTCAGCAAGTCCATAAACCATTAATATATAGAAAAATTCTTTACTTAGGAAAATAATAACATAAGATAGATTTCAGTCTTGAACCAACTGTGATAAAATATAGTTAATATAATATGTTTTTGAAGTTTGATCACCATGGCAGTGCTGTTGCCAGCCGGGGTTGGGGGGGGCAGTTGCCCCCCCTGGATTTTTTATTGAAATCATTTTTCCTTGTGAAAGTTAACTTGAATAAGAAATGAATAATCTTATTTGCCCCCCTGTCAAAAAAGTTAACTACGGCCTTGCATGGGATATGTTGTCATGGATGTTGGATTCAGCCAACTTGTTGGAAACTAAGAAATTGGCACTCTGTTGCATTTTCTCAAAAACATGTTGGAGGTATTGAGTTTTGGTACGTCTCTAGATCATGTCGCAGACTTGCTCTATGTTGGAAAGGTCAGGGCTCATGGCCAGCCATTGCATTCTGGTGATGTTTCACTGCTGGAGGTAGTCAGTTGCGTTATGTGCAGGGTGGCCATGAGATTCTTGTCCTTATTCATGGGACTTGAATAGCCATGACAAGACATTGATCAGTTAGGTTTACATGTACAATATCAACTCGATTGATAAAGCAAAGATCCCTGAATATCCGGGGTAGAATAGGTCTTCAGCAACCCATGTTTGCCATAAAAGGCGACTATGCTTGTCGTAAGAGGCGACTAACGGGATCGGGTGGTCTGCTCGCTGACTTGGTTGATGCATGTCATCGATCCCAAATACGTGGCTTGATGTGCATGATGTCGATCACTGGATTGTCGGGTCCAGACTCGATTATTTACAGACAGCCATCATATAGCTGGAATATTGCTGAGTGCGGCGTTAAACAACAAACAAACAAACAAACAAGATAAAGCAAAACAGTTTTAAGATATTGAAGAGCAATTGTGTTGAATGTACTGTTGGTAGGGTTTCTTGTGGATGTGAAATAAGAGCTCCTAAGTGTAAGATCATGTACAGCTGTCATCATGTTTCTTCTTGGTTTCCTGGCTAGTTTGTCTGGGTACGGCCCACATTGACATTAATTAGTGTATATATGCACTGCTTACTTCGTACATTGTCAAAGTATTCAAGCTAATGAATATGTACATATCAAGTTTTGCTTTTAAACTCGTACCTGTGTTTGCTCTGTGCTCTACAGTATTTGACTGAGGTAGGTTGATGTGATTCGACAAGCGTCATGCTGTCCTGGAGAGATGAAGAATGAGTTATCAGTGTAATTGTGTTAGTTGTGTTAGTGTTAGGATTGTTCACGAGCCAATGAATGAGCAAATATCGCCATGGGCGCTTATTAGAGCTGGGGGGCGGTCGGGTAGCCTAGTGGTTAAAGCGTTCGCTCGTCACGCCGAAGACCCGGGTTCGATTCCCGACATGGGTACAATGTGTGAAGCCCATTTCTGGTGTCCCCCGCCGTGATATTGCTGGAATATTGCTAAAAGCGGCGTAAAACCATACTCAGTCAGTATTAGAGCTGGGTGCTTATTACGTCGAATAATACCGTATATATAAAATGCGTTATGCATAATCAATTATTATTCACCAGTTAATTTACTGTTTTTAAATGTTATTTGCTGCCTAATATATATTATATCACTTCTGTATATTTTGGTGATGGACTATATATATATATATATACACTGGACTTCCCATTCAGTGCATCCACTATATATATATATATATATATATATATATATATATATATATATATATTTGGTGAGTGTATGAGTTTGGTTTTAGCGCTGCTATTTGAAGAGTTATAGCAGCATGTTAGCTTGATATGGAATGAAAGCCCTTTACTCCGATAGCGCCTTTTACAAGAATAACTCCACACACCATGATCTTGTTATACTATTAGCTCCCATCTCTTCAGTGAACCATGAAGATCCGGGGTAGAATAGGTCTTCAGCAACCCATGCTTGCCATAAAAGGCGACTCTGCTTGTCGTAAGAGGCGACTAACGGGATCGGGTTGTCAGGCTCGCTGACTTAGTAGATGCATGTCATCAATCCCAATTGTGTGGATCGATGGTCATGATGTAAATCACTGGATTGTCTGGTCCAGACTCGATTATTTACAGACCGCTGTCATATAGCTGGAATATTGCTGAGTGCGGCGTTAAACAACAAACAAAACAAACAAACAGTGTAATGATATGGGTGAATTAGGTTCAACACAGCTCTAAGAGTATTTCAGTTATATCACAGCAAGACATTTTCTGTTGCAAGAATGTCCTAAGAGACAGAGGTCACAGATCTTGATGAAAAATGCACCAAAGGAAGGATTATTATCGGGACCAATCTAGGATTTGAACCCACAATTCATAGATCCCCTCACTCACCTGTCCTATCACCAGAGGGTAGATCTGTGGCATGTGATGAATTCATTAAGAATTAACAGCAGAATAGGTTCATTGCATGTATACAAGTTACAATTCTGGTGACTGTTTGCCATATCCATAGTGCAAACAGATTGGAAACCATTCCAACGTTTGACTCTTGCTGCAAGATTGGATTGAGTGAGTGTGAGTGTGTATGGTTTTACGCCGCTTTTAGCAATATTCAAGCAATATCACGGCGGGTGACACCAGAAATGGGCTTCACACATTGTACCCATGTCTGAAAACCTAACCCGGGTCTTCGGCGTGATGAGCGAACGCTTTAACCACTAGGCTACCCGACCGCCCCAGATCTGATTGAACTGATCGATTGGTGTTCAGGCTTAGTGACTTGGTTGATTGCATGTCATCGTATCCCATTTTCAGGGATCGATGTTCATGATGTTGATCACTGAATTGTCTGGTCCAGACTAGAATATTTACAGGCTGTTATCATACAGTTGGAATATTGCAAAGTGCAGTATTAAACAACAAACAAACAAAAATTTGAGTTGTGTTATGCCAAGTTATGGTATAGTTATGTTAGGCTTAAAAAATAAAAGAATTGGTGTTTAGGCATGTTTTTTGAAAATAAAGTGCAGGGGGCAGTCATTTTTTTCTTATAGGTTATACTAGTAGTAGTATGTCTCCAAATAAACAGTTGTGTAACCAAATAAACAATGTGTCCAATCAACTTAAAATTGGGAAAGGGCCTTCTTACAAAATGTATTCCTTGATCAGTAAAATACTGGAATACAGTATTTGACTGCTGTTGGACTTAGAATATTAAAGGGGCGGTCGGGTAGCCTAGTGGTTAAAGCGTTCGCTCGTCACGCCGAAGACCCGGGTTCGATTCCCGACATGGGTACAATGTGTGAAGCCCATTTCTGGTGTCCCCCGCCGTGATATTGCTGGAATATTGCTAAAAGCGGCGTAAAGCCATACTCACTCACTCACTAGAATATTAAAGGATTTTTTTATATTTAAAAAAAAATGGAAATAAAAATGAAACGTGCGGCGAACTTTATGATGATACGGGTGGTGCCTGAGAACCAAGACTATTATTGTTTTTAGCCTTAACTGGACATGCAGAAACAGCTACATGAGTATAGAGTGATTGGAGGTGTCCACAGCTATCCAGTGTATTTTGTCTCCATTCTATCGTGATAAATTCCGTGGACCCAATCACCACATGGGGGGAGTGACATCACCACCTTTGTCTCTCTTATCTCTAGCTCAGCATGGTATTTTCTCTTGGTCGTGAGATTAATTTACTTGGATGGTTTCTTAGCGTTGTGCCATTTGAAACGGTCTCAAAATGAAGCTGAATGGATCCAGGGGATGTATCTTAATAGATGGAGATGCAGTTAAAGATGGCAAACTGTGTACAAGGTGCACATAGTGCAGCTACTTTACATATTTATTTTAGAATTAAATCTTTATGTGTTGTGCATCATTAATTGAGAATGTTTCATGTAATAGACAAGCCAGAAGGATTGATATAAAGAATTGTATGTATCATTTGTGTATGTTTTGTTTTTCAAAAGATGAGGTGTTTGACATTAACAAATCAATAAATTGCAAAAATTATTGCATTGATAGACAAAATGAGAATATGGATACAAAAAAATAAGAATTCAGAATCTATACTAGAATAAGATTTTGTAATGAAACATTCTATTTTTAGCTCTATAGTATCAATCATTGATTACCATGACATTGTAGTTGATTATCGATACTGAGTTTTGGGTTCAATGGCAGCCCTATTGAGTTACTATATATCAGCTCACGCTCCAGACTGACTTCCACTGTTGGGATTCTGGGATAGGTCGCCAGCAACCTGAAGAAAGCCTTTGCTGGTTATAAGAGGCGACCAAATGGATCAGATGGTCAAGCTCTGTGACTTGGAGTGTTGATAGCATGTACCCAACAGCTTGGATTGCTGCTCACAATATTGATGAATAGATTGTCTTGTCCAGTCTTGATTATTTACAGGCTGTGGCCACATACATGTAGCTGGAATATTGCGGCGTATGGCTTAAACAACAAATTGTCTTGCAGTGCTTGGGTCATTTTCAAAAATTAAAAAACCCACCTTCGTTACACAAAACTGCAGTCTCAGTGTGTTTTCAAATTGACTCAGGTTCCTATCATTCTCTGGTTCTATGGGTCGATGACATCTTTTATAATAAAACATTTCTCTCCTAAGAAAAAATAATTATTTTCTTATGCTGATTTCATATGACAAAAATCTCACCACATCCATATGTTAGGAATACCCTGTCACAAGATCACTTACATAAGCAATATGATAAACCCCCCTTATCTTCCCACATCCCAAGTTTCTTACAATAATCTGGATTGTTTTTTATATTACATCATATATACATACATTCTACAGTCATGGTGCAGGACTAATACTCTGCCACTGACAACACATCTGTAATGAGATGAGAGGGGTCTGCATTAGGTCCATGATCATTGCATAATCGCTTCCCTGTGGTGATATTGGTCAGATTAGTATCATGTTCATTCTTGTAGTATTGGATTTCAAAATAATTGCAACCATAGGTGAAGACGAACTCCTGGAGATAGTAAATCTGATGGATTTATTACTCTGTTAACAAGACACTAGGCATAGAACAGCTGGTGTTTTCAGCAAGATTGATTCAAATTATCAAAGGCCACTTTTTTCGTCTGCTGCTGAAATTTATAACTTGTGTATCTGCCCAGCAATAAATGATTACCAAACTTCGTGCCAAGCAAGACAATAGAACCAACTTCAAGTCATAACTTGGTTACATTTACAAATTAACCATTTTGAAAAATAAACATGAAGGAAGTCGTAGTCTTGACAATAAATGAAAACATATATGGTGTTCGGAAGCTTTTGGAAATATTTACTCAAGGTATGCAAGTAACATAGACTGAAAAACAATTATCCCCCTTTGCAATTAATAGCTTCCGGGTCAAATCGAAAGCAAGATGGCTGCGGAAGGGGGAACACGAGAAGGGAACTCGGGTTTTACCCGACGTCATTTCGAATACGTTCACTCTACGAGACGACCAGATCGCAAAACGATGACAGGAAAAAAGCCCATACCAGAACCAACACATGTTGGTCACTTCGCGGTGATGCTTGTCATGAAAATTTGCCGTTCCGTGCTGCTGATCGACACGTCTGTAAAAATTGGTGTCTATCTCATCGGGGTAATGGTTGGATCTGTCTTGTGCGATTTGTTTGCATTCCCAAGATCCTTCTTTTCTAACAAAAGAAACTTCTTCAATGTCTTTTTCGTCAAAATGGGATGGGGATGGACCTTCACGCTTCTACTTCTACTCATTTTCCTGACGAGTTCTGTGTACTGTTTTGGACGGTGGAATGAAGTGAGACGGCACATGATGCGGCTTGCTGTTGGAACATTCTGGTGGTATTTATGCACAAAATCGTTTGAATTTATTGACAGCACTGTCGGCCAATGCACCAAGCTAGGAATAAACAGTAAAATAGAATGTGTCCGATCAGGAAGAGAATGGATTGGGTTAGATATATCTGGACATGTTTTTCTTTTGATACACTGTTTATTGACCATATCTGAAGAAGTCAAGGTGTTCAAGGACTGGAAGAAGATTGGAGAAATGTTGTATGATGATGAATTGAAGGAGAAAAGGAAAGTAACAGAGGGAGATATATCACAAGGGAGACTTTCACTAAAAACTCTCACCCCATTTATTAAAGCAACCGTTGCTGCTCTTGCCTTTATTGTTATATTGTGGGAATTTATGTTGTTAGTGAGTGTTATTTATAGATTCCACACACTTCCTCAGAAGATTGCTGCTGCGTTCATTGCGGTTTTATGTTGGTTTGTGAGCTACAGAATTTTGTTCAGAAGTAAAATTCCTTGGCTACCACCTCAACCAGGAGATTCGTCACTGAGTTATATGAAACTTGCATAGTGTGAAACAGGATGAATTGTTTCGGGGATACATTACATATTAATTATTCCATCTTGGTACTGTCAACTCTACCATATTTATAACTATGTACAAATGTAATATGTCACTGCAGAAGATCTGTTTTGGTATGAGTTTCTTTTGTCTTAAACATGTTAGTTGTGTACATGACCATCTGCTGCACAAAATGATCATGTTGATCGTTATATTAATAACTGACGTGTATGTGAATTACACTCATTAAACCGATAATCGTGTTTCTTGTGACCTTGTCTGTTGCCTCAAATTGCCATTGTTATTCCGCGGGCATCTTTTTGCAAGTTGCTTTGTAATCATGATTAAAGAAATTGTAAGCATCCGTTGTGACCTGCAGTGCTTGAACTCTTGTGTACCTAGAGCCATTGTCAAACTGATGAATTATTCATGGAATGTTAATGTGGTCTATTGACTTGTTGTGCATACACCTTTTGAAATCTTAAATACATGTATGTCAGAAGTTGATTTCGCTAGTGCATTTTACATGAAGTGCAATATTCATGAATTGCTGAGACATGTTATAGTTTCTTTTCACCATGTTCCGCATATTCATGATTTTTATTTATTTAAATATGAATTTTTTTATATATGCTTTTTTTCTAAGTTTAATTTAAGCTGATTTATTAGGTAGTAGATATATCATAATGAACCGAGCACCATCTGTATCTTAGTTTACATCAATTTCAGTCATAGTAATTATTGGTATCATTGAATCAATATGAACAACAACAAAGATATGTAGTATTTAAAGTTATTAAAGACTTTTACATCTTAATCATTGCAACCCAAATCTTTTTCATTTAGAGGCACTGTGGGTATTTTCATGTTGAAGACTTTGTATAACATGGTATAAGGTGAGCCAAGCAGGTGTAGATACTCACTACCAATAGGTGTTTACTTTGGATACTAGTTTAAACATACCAGCCCACTCCGTTAATGAGGGTGTGTCGAGGTAGACAGTGACTCATGTACTAGGTGTACATGGCAGAACTCAATCAGGCTCACATGGTTAGGCTTATGTAGCATGATTGTATGGTAGTGGTACACGCAAACTTTGCAAACCGAATTACCGTATTTGACGTAATAAGCGCTCTCAAAATTAGAAATAGGGGGGCTCTCATTAGAATATTATTTTGGTGAAAATAACAGAGTTGAAAGATAAATTTCGTGGTTTATGCTGACAGTGACAGCCTTTGACATGATTAAGGGTGCAAATAACACTTATATTTTATTAGTATTATACATGAATAAAGTCTTGTGTACAGTGATCAATCGGAAGGGGTGCTAATTGGTATTGTTCACTAGCCAATATATTAGCAAATATCGCAGTGAGCGCTTATTAGAGCGGGGCGCTTATTACGTCGAATATGGTAATGTGATTACTGTTATGTTGAGTTTATTTCTTAGATGGAAAGAATTAAGCCCAAATTCCATCCTTGATGGTTCGACCCAACTTTCATTTTATGGTCTGATGTGTTCATTATATGTGGTACCAATGCATTAAAAAAGTTTTTGATTGTTCACTGTAATCTTGGTAATGAGTGACTGAATGATAAGGCCAAAAGAATTGTGTTTTTCCTATTACAGTCAATCCAAAAATAGGACACGTAGGTTGGGTTTTGATTGTATTTTCTTTTTTTTTGAAAAACAGTAATTTGCAGATGTGTGGTATGCCTGCTTATAAATGAGGATAATGACTGGTTTATGGTGAGGCGTAGTCTGTCATACAGACCCTGAAACAAATATATCCAATACAGCCCATGCAAGTCTATAATGTTTGGCAAGTCTAGATTACTACAGTATCAGGATCTGAAAATGAAAGTCTCTGGGCTCCTTTTTATTATATTTTATAACTATAATTTAACAACTGTTTTTTCTGTAACAAGTACCATCATTTAACGTCTTTTTGGTATGACGCGTCCGGGGATCAAACCCCGGACCTTCCGCTCTCCGGGCGGACGCTCTACCACTAGACCACGGAGGCAGTCCTTTAATGGGGTGGACAGCATTGATAAGTAATCTGAGTACCCACGGTCCCTAGCTTACATCATATGTGTACATCTTTGGTTGTTGATCCTGTTTTTATGTTGTGTAGTTTAGTAATAGTTTCCTCTTTTAAATGTTCTCAATCTAATTTTAAAGATAAAATGTGACATATTGTTAATTATTTAACTGTCCATCGTTGACAGATTTTATCAAATTATTAACATGATTAATATATAACTATTCCTAGTCATTTTAACTCGCAATAAGGAATGCGAATGTGTATGGATGGTCATCTTGATGGTTGCTGTTTTATATTTACTCACCCCATATCTCATGTATTTCATATTGGGTAAAGTTGTGTGTACTTGTAATGTTTTTTTATTTTTTTTATTGCCGCACTCAGCAATATTCCAGCTATATGACGGCAGTCTGTCAATAATCGAGTCTGGACCAGACAATCCAGTGCTTGACATCATGAACATCGATCCACGCAATTGGGATATGATGACATGCATCAACCAAGACAGCGAGCCTGACCACCCGATCCTGTTAGTCGCCTCTTACGACAAGCATAGTCGCCTTTTATGACAAGCATGGGTTGCTGAAGACCTATTCTACCCCGGATCTTCACCATGTTCACGGGTGGCTCAGTATTGTGAATACATAGAAGCTATTAAACGGGATCTCTTATCAAATACATACATCGAGCATGGGTTGCTGAAGACCATTTCTACCCCGGATGTGTACTTGTAAGGGACATCTTCCCGAGGTAAGGGAGTTAACTGACTGTAAAAGTCCAGTTTCCCCCCTTGCTGAACTAGGCGGGAATTTCCAGGCTCGATCGTAGCGCCATCGTAGCGCCAGACAGTTTTACAGTTAGTAAACTCCCATGCCTCGTTTAAGATGGAAAAGGGATAGATTATCAGTTAATGAGAAATTCCAGTTTTTGTGTTTTATGTCAGCAAGTGTGTTCAATATTAGATTTGCCGAATTCTGTTTGGTCTACTATATCACATCATGTACCTGTTAGCACTATCCACAAACAAGACTTTTGATAAAAAAAAAGGCTATTGGATGCTCTTGCCTTGGGAAGATGAGCACTACCATGACGACAGCCTCCCTGTCCACTTGTCCAGCTGACTCTTCTGCAAGCACACCCCTCAGATCTGTACGGAGGAGGTGGGGAGGAGAGTTTATGATGCTTCATGTTGGTTTGATTGAGGTAATGTGCAAATCTAATATGAGGTTTGTCTCCCATGTAAAGACATTCTCAAAGAATGATCAGATGATTATTTTCCCAACAGACTTACACAGTCTAGTTCAGTATCTGTTGCTTTTGAATAAAAGCTATCACCGACATGGTCTTCCCAGAATAAAACATACAGCAATATGTGTGTAACTGAATATCGGACACATGATAATCAGGTATTGAGAAAAAGAAAATATGCATGTACAAGCATGGGCATTAATGTTTTAATTTTTTTGTCCAGAGCAGGAATACGATACTTTCATGTGGATATATTATTTGTTTGTTTCTTGTGTGAAAGTCTGAGAAGGAACAATATTTTGTTTCTTTAGGCATATCCCGCTTATGAAAGTTTGTCAATCTCATTAAAATCAGATCTAGGTTCTCACTGCCCGTTAAACAGAGATCTGAGGACATCCCATTTCGTGTTACGTCAGAACGACCTTTCACAAACTTTGACCGACCACTGAAATGACTAACAAGAAGTCGACATCAGCCACATTAGAAAGCAGCTTTCTCGAAACACGAATACCACGTGTTAACATTTTCAAGGTTGCATGATTAGAAAACACATTCCGACTGTCACTTTCACGATCTGGTAAGCGAGGCTTTGATTGGTCGGATGAAAGGTCGTTCTGACATGACATGTCCTCATATCTTTGTTTAGCGATAGCGAGAACTAAGATCTGATTTTAATAAGATTGGAAAGTTTGTCGATATACAGAATAACTATTTTTGATAAATTTGAAAGAACATGTATTGTGTGCAATGGATTTGATTATGTTATACTGAAACAGTGTTCCCGAAAAGCGAAAACTACGAAACTATCCAGGCGACTTGTTCTACATGGGCATGACTGTGATGGCACACGTCAATAGACTTTCTTGAAGAGTCTGAAAAGGTGGTCTTCAAAATAGAATCTCTGCCATATTTACAGCCTACTGGTTTATCCTTTGAACCATATATATATACTACTCAAAAGAAGTTAACCCATTCTTGCCGTAAAAGGTGACTATGCTTGTCGTAAGAGGCGACTAACAGGATCGGGTGGTCAAGCTTGCTGACTTTGTTTATGCATGTCATCGTATTGCGTGGATCGGTGCTCATGATGTCAATCACTGGATTGTCTGGTCCAGATTCAATTATTTACAGACTGCCATCATATAGCTGGAATATTGCTGAGTGCGGCGTTAAACAACAAACAAAAGAAGTTAAAAAACACCCAATTTTTTTCATAGGACTATTGTTAATCTGATATGGGCATGACATATTAACAATAGTCTTATGATAAAATTGGGTGTTCTTTAGTAGTCTTTGAGTGGTATATATACGTGTAAGGTTATTGGCTATTCAAGAGAAGATGCCAGACAGCCTGACAAAATGTCTGCTTTAGAACAGTTTTCTGGGAACACTGCTGAAGTAGCAGGGCGGTTTTCATTGGTTTGATTTAGTGCAATCAAATTTTTTTTATGTGAGTTTACCATTGTATTATACCAGGTACTGTTCAACATGTTAAATGGCAAATGAATGAAAGCATGATGTGTGATGATCTGTTTGTGGAACAAAAAAGTTGTTTCCTTTTTCCAAGATTTTCCATTGCATGTTTCTTCTTTCCCTTGCAAAGTTCCTTGTGCAAATAATGTGTTAATCCCCTGGAAATAAAACCAGATTTGTGACATTGTTATTTTCAATTTCTTATGCCACAGTCATGATGGTGCAAGTAGCTGGATCAGCATGGACAGTTTCCTGATACTCTGATTTCTGAATCTCCAAAACAAATGGTCCTCCTGCATTAGAAGATTTTAGTAGGAGTTTTTTGTCTAGAAATATTCTCAAGAAGCCAGCAATGTTTCTTTTTGACATCTAGGCGCTGGATTCGCTGTGCAGAGTTGCGTCTCTTGGGCATGCCAGAAACCTGTGATTGTGGGTTCGAATCCCGGTTCGCCCCGATTATGTTTCTAGGTTTGTCAGCACCATACCTGTGCTCGTGGGTTTCATCGAAGTGGTAAACGTCTGAGACCTGCATCACTTTCCTCCCACATTAAGCTGGCATCTGATAAAAATGGGTGAAAATCTAAAGTAATGCGATTCAGTGTGCATGCCAGAAACCTATGACGCCAGGTTCAAATCCTGGTTTGGTTTGGTCAAGTTTCTAGGTTTGTCAGCACCATACCTATATTAATTGGTTCCCAAAGTGAGCTCTATAGGTAACCATGGTAATACATAGGTTTATGTACTACAAATGACATATTTCCTTTCAACGGGTAATTAAAGATTTCACTGTATAAGCTTTAACATCATGTTCTTGATCTATTTCATCATGGCAAACATTTTGGCATGTAAACCTGGCATGTACCTAAATATTACTCACCAGTAAACACAAGCCCTGTATCCTATAAAACATCAGTAAACATACCTGTACATTGATAGAAATGTTCCAGTTGGAGTGTATCCATTGGATTAACTTCAGATACTGAAGTATATCACTGGTTCCGTCGTACTGAATGTGATGATTGTCATGTGATAAATGATAGTCACCATGATGCAACAAAGTTTGTTTTTAGAGATACCGGTTTCTGATATAATTTGACATAGAAGTTGTATGATACAACAGATATACAATGTAACCCTCACTGTTGCAATCCCACTGAAATCAGCATGATAAACAAATTTCCTGATTAACAAATAGAGAATCTCACCCGAGTGTCTTTTGATATCAAATATATCAACACGAGTTGATAAAAGTGGAAAAATTCCGAGGCTTGCCGAGGATTTTTGCCACTTTTATCAACGAGTGTTGATATATTTGATGTCAAAAGACATGAGGGTGAGATTTTATTTATCATCCAACATCATTCTTCCAACTTTTTCAATTTGTAGACAGTAATTAGCAGTGTCTTCAGTGTAAAAAGTACTGCTAACAGCTTCAGTAGCAGAGCTATTAGTGATGTCATTTGATTGTGACGTCATGTTAACTAGTGATGTCACAATGGTCTGCAAAGCATTGTGATGTAATTTCATTGCAGCGATATCTACAGTGTAGATATTGCTTGATCTCATCCAAGCCATATCTCCTGTGGGAGCCAGTTTGGGATGATAAATAATGGTTACAGACAGCTGGTTACAGAGTAATGCTACTTTGTTGACATGTTCCCGGCAGTAATTATCTGGTTTGGGGTTAACGGGGCTCTGTCTTAAAGACATGGCTCAGTATTGTGAATACATAGAAGCTATTAACTGGGATCTCTTATCCAATACATACTAACAGTGAAGTGAATGATAATAAGGAACACTGCACCATAACAACCATTATAAACTTGATGGCGTGGTGGGGTAGCCTAGTGGTTAAAGCTTCACTTGTCATGCCGAAGACCCGGGTTCGATTCCCCACATGGGTACAATATGTAAAGCCCTTTTCTGGTGTCCCCCGGAGTGATATTGCTGAAATATTGCTAAAAGTGGTGTAAAAGCTTACTCACTCACAAACTCACTCATGAATTTGATATTCCATTAAATATATATAACATGTAAAGTTACCTTTTCAAACTGATATTAGAACTTGCGAGAAGTCTTTGTGTTAAGACCGCCTCCATAGTCTAGTGGTAGAGCAGAAGGTACGGGGTTCAATCCCCGGCCGCGTCATACCAAAAGACGTTAAAAGATGGTACTTGTTGTTACCCTGTCTGGTGACGTTAAACCCCATTTCACCTCAACTCACCCCAAAAGCACACACACACACACACACACGTGAATGCAGGTCACTATATTTGCACAATAATCTTGAGCATTAAGGGGCTAAAACAAGGACTGGTCGGCTCGGAGTCAGTATACTGTGTCTGCAGCATGGTATCTCAGTGAGCTAGCACTATAAATCAGCATCAGTCTCACCCACGTCATTATATAAGTGCAATAATCTTGGACGCGACGTTAAACTCAATTTCACCTCACCTCACCTCCTTCGTGTTGGCCACTCATAAGGTACGATCTCTCTGTGTGTTGAATGCTATCTTGTGTAAAGTGTGCAGTCAAAATCTACATTGTTGTACTTCTGAAAGGCAGTCAATATAAGCTGAGTCTATGGAAGATATAAGACTGCACCCGGTGATGTCATTGTTAGAGTGTACAAGGGATTAAAAACTAACTAAAATAGTCTATGTGAATGTTAATTTTGAAATACAAGATTATGAACAATGTTATTTCCTGTTATGCTTGACATTTTACGTCGTGCACAAAGTGAGC